ACTCATACACATTAAAAAAAGCCAGGTGGGGTGGTGCATGCCTGTAGTCCCAGCACTTGGGAGGCAGAGGCAGGCGGATCTCTGTGAGTTCAAGGCCAGCCTGTTCTACATAGTGAGTTCCAGGACAGTGGAGCTACAGGAAGACCCTGCTTCAAAAAGACAAAAAAAAAAAAAAAAAAAAAAAAAAAAAATTAGAAAAAAAAAAAGAAAAAAAAAAAGAAAAGAAAAACGGGGGCCGGAGTGATGGCTCAGCAGTTAAGAACACTGACTTCTTGCAGAAGACCCGGGTTCAATTCCCAGCACCCACATGGCAGCTAACAACTGTAACCAGTTCCAGGGGATCCGACAGCCTCTTCTGTGCTCTGAAGGCATTGCATGACATGGGTGCACTTACCTACATGAAGGCAACACACATAAAATACACATAAAATAAAAATAATAGCTGGGCATGGTGGCACACGTCTTTAATCCCAGCATTTGGGAGGCAGAGGCAGGTGGATCTTTGTGAGTTCAAGGCCAGCCTGGTCTACATAGTGAGTTCCAGGGCAGCTGGGGCTACAAGGAGACCCTGTCTCAAAAAAGACAAAAATAAAATGTTTTTTTAAAAAAGAAAACAAAGGAAAATAAAAAAGACCCATCTTCATGGTTTTAGGGATGAGCATGGTGGGTGTGGCTTTGTTCTTGAATGTCTTTCAACTGGAGCAGAGATCATACTACAGGAAAGTATTGGGCTTAAGAGCCAGACAGGCTTGGGCTCTCCAGGACTGGGGCCAGGCTGGCAGTCCTCTGAGCTCTCCATATCGTCTACTGGAGGAGCCAGTGTAGGAAGCACACTAGACTGTGCTCTGTAGGCTTCATAGTGATCATTAGTGATCACAACTGCCTTGCCACAAGACTGGCTTTCCTTTCTCTCTTTTTTTTTTTTTTTAAGTCTTTTTGAGACAGGATCTCTCTGTAGCCCCGCCAGCCTGGGACTCACTATGGAGACCAGGCTGACCTTGAACTCACAGAGATCTGCCAGCCTGTCTCCCCAGTGCTGGGACTAAAGGCATACGCCACCACACCCAGTGGGTGCCCATACCTTTAAGCCATGTTTTGGAAACAAATGATGAGAAGGCCCAAGAGTTCAATATTTCCCCACAATAGAAGAAAGACCATCTTGCATTTGTCACCCCCTCCAAAGCTTATGTTCTCTTTTGGAAGAAGCTGGTAGAAAGATTGTGAGAGCCAGAGGAAGGGACAGAACGTTAGAAGAGCTTCTCCTCTGAATGGCAAGTAATGAACAGATAAAAGTCATCTTCTCTAGCTTCTCACCCATTTGCTTCAATCACCTCAAACTAATTGGATTACAAGACCCTCTGTAGGAAGGGAGGGGCAGAGGAAGAGTCACCCTCCCAACCAGCCTTAACTGCATGAGGGGGAGGGACTAAGGAGAGGGACAGGGGAAGACAGGGAGGGGAAAGAGCCTCACCATCTTGGACTGGCTCAATGCAAGTTAGGAAGCCACAGCCAAAATGTAGGGAAAAAAAGCCCAAGGGTACTCATACCTTTATATGTACCCCCTCACTGCCACCCTATGCTTTGTTAGGAAGCTCAATAAATCCCTTTGTTTCCTAAAAAAAAAAGTATTTTTTAAACGTATTTTATGTGTATGAGTGTTTTGCCTGCATGTAAGTACACCCATGTGTGCAATGTGTGTGGAGGCCAGAAGAGGGTTGTTAGATCCCCTGGAACTGGAGTTACAGTTGTTAGCCTCCATGTGGATGCTGGGAACTGAACTTGGGTCTTCTGCAAGAGTGGGAGGTGCCATCTCTCCAGACACTTTTTTTTTTTTCTTTTATGAGTGTTTTGATTGCATGTATGTAAGTTTACCCATATGTGCAGAGCAGAAGAGGGTATCAGATCCTTTGGAAGTGGATTTACAGATAGTTGTTTTCCATCATGTGAGAGCTGGGAACCAAACCCAGGTTCTCTGCAAAAGTAGCCAGTGCTCTTAACCACGGAGTCATTCTCCAACCCCTCTCCCCCTCTTTTATCCCTCTTCAGTACTTGGTAATCACTGAGCCATACCTCAAGCGCCTGCTGGACTTTGTAACAACACTAACACCATGTGAAATTACAGTTATGATCAGAAATTTATAGATAAGGAAAACCTCTTAGAAGTTGCAAGACTGGCCTTGAATTTGCTGTGTAGTCTAAGATGACCTTGATCTTCTGATCCTTCTGTCTCCATCTCCCAAGTGCTGGGATTATAGGTGTGTGCCACCATGCTGGGTTTATGTAATGCTAAGGATCAAATCCAAGGCATCATGCATGCTAGACAAACACACTACTAATTGAGCTATTTCTCTGGCCTCTCTCAAAAGACTTTTGATCTCCCTCTTCCCCAAAGCCCACAGTGAAGGTCTCAGCCCATATTCCCTCTTAACCACAATAATACCGAGGTTTCATTTCAATGGTTTCCACCACTTGATCACCCACACACTATGCTCTGGGGCCTCTGCTGTTTTTTGGGAAACAAGGATACTTGCCTTTGAGTACCCACAATTTGCATTCAGCAGCAACCAGCATGGCTATATTATTCTTGGCTCCATTGGTGACTTCACACTTAAGTAGCCATGGCTCTTTTATGTGTGTGTTATATACGTGTGTGTAGGTACACATGTTCATGCGTGCACATACAAAGGCTAGAGAAGGATATGGAAAAGGATATGGGCGTCTTCCTTTGTCACTCTCCACCTTAGTCTCTGACAGGAGTTCTTTTCTTTTTTCTTTGGTCTTTTTGAGACAAGGTCTCCCTATAGCCCCAGCTGGCCTGGAACTATGTAGATCAGGCTGGCCTTGAACTCACAGAGATTTGCCTGTCTCTGCCTCCTGGGTGCTGGGATTAAAGGCGTGTGCCACCATGCCCGGCATCTAATGGATTTCTTACTGAACCTGAAGGTCACTATTTTGGCTGGCTGGCTGGCAATGGGCTCTTGGATCTGGCATCTCCATCCCCAGTGCTGGAGTTATGAGCACACACAGCCATGCCTGGATGTTTTTTTTGAAACATTTACTGTGTGTGTATATGTGTCACAGTATACATGTGGACATCAGAGGACATTTTGCAGAATCAGTTCTCTCCTACCATGTAGGTCCTGGGAATTGAACTCAGTTACTCAGGATTGTTAGCAAGCACCTTTACCTATTGAGTCATCTGGCTGGTTCCATGATCCACTTTTATGGGTGCTAGGGATTTGAACTCAGGTTTTCATGCTTGCACAGCAAGTGCTCTTACTCATGCCATATCTCCACAGCCTCAGTCTCTTGTTAATCAAAGGTATCCATACCTGCCAATACATATGTCCATAATAACTATATGTACCACTCAGAACTGCTCTATTCATAACAGAACCTTGGCAGTTTTTGCTTGCCTTCAAAGACTTCTGAGCAACTTTAAAGATTTATTTTCATTGGGACTGGAGAGATGGCTCAGCAGTTAAGAGCATTTGCTCCTCTTGCAGGAGGACTTGGGTTCTCACAATCACCTGGGTAACTCTAGTTCCAGAAGATCTGATGCCTTCTGACCTCTGCAGATACCCGTACAAACATGGTGCCCATACACACAAACAGGTAAATACACATAAAATAAAAAATAATCTCAAAAAAATTATTTTAAAGTATCTGTCCATGTGTGGGTATGTGTAGGTGAGTGCAGATGGAGGCCAGAGACATTGGATCCCCCGAAACTGGAGTTAGAGGCAGTTGTGAGCTACTCATGTGGGTGTCGAGAATCTAATTCCAATCCTCTAGTCCTCTTAATTGCTTAATTGCTATCATGCTTTTTAAAAAAATATTTTATTATTATTAGTTTATTTTTATGAGTGTATGTAAATGGACCACATGCATGTAGTGCCTGTAGAGGCCAGAAATGAGGCACAGATCCCTTGGAACATGGGGGTGGGAAACTGAACTTGAGTCCTCTGCAAGAACAGCAAGTGCTCTTAGCTGCTGAGTCATGTCTCCAGCCCCTCTATCATGCTTTTTGAGAAACTGAAGGTCATTTGTTCAGTGTTCAAACCAGACTCTCTGCTGGGCCCAAACTGAGGAGGTTAGTGTGTCATTGTCTAACTCTTAGGTGACTGTTACTCACCCTGTCATTTCATTGTTTGTCACCAACCTCAGATAACTCAGCTTTGCAAATGACAGGTGCTACCAACAAAACCTCACACAAATGTGCTAGTGGTCTGGGTGGGCCTTTGTGGCATAAACAAACACCTCTGTGCACATGCTAAGTGAAGGAGAGAGACCAGGCAGGAGACACAGTTATACAATTCACAAGGTTATTTGTTCTAAGTAAATACAACCTGAGAACATCCATTTCAGTCCCTTAAACATTGTTTTTCACTCTTGCATGTGTCCCTACCAAGTCATACCATCTGCCATGAAGCCTCAGCAAAGCTAAGCAGATACTGGTCCCATAGTCTCCATCCTCCACAAAAGTAACCTTAATAAACTTTTTTCTTTATAAAGTATCTAGCCTTAGATATTTTGTTATAGTAACACAAAGCAGATTTAGATCGACTCTGGGGCTGGTGAGATGGCTTGATGGGTCCAAGTTCCTGCCACCAAGCCTTCCACAAATATGCCATGCTACACATAAACACACACACAAATAAATAAATACAATGTAATAAAAAATAAGATAGAGCCTTCCCATGGGGCCTCATGCTGCCAGAGGAACACCTGTCTTTACCTCCTCTGGGTTCTGTGGCTTAGAACTTTGTGGCTAGGTGTCCAGCTATTGTAGAAAGCTTTGTCCTCTGACACCAGTCATCATTCCTGGAAGCAACTTGCCCTGGGAAAGGGAGAAACTGTGGCACAGTTGATAAGCAGGGTGGAAACAATGTCCCTTAACCCTACCAGGAGGCTGAAGGAAGAAAGGAATACAGCCACCCTCCCCAACCCCAGTCCTGGACCATGAAGAAGCTGGAAGTCCATTATTTGTCTTCTTTTTGCAACCAAGGTCAGAGGTTTGGATCCATGTTCTCCTGGTCTGAGTCTGCCTCATCAACATCTGGGTACTCCTGGGTCAGAACCAAAACGCCAGTCACAGGTTTGTGCTGATCCCTGAGGGCCACAGGCTGGGGGCCTGCTCCTCTTTGCCCTTGCCTCAACCCCAACGAAATCAGTATGAAGGCTCTGCTACCCTAGAGTTCTACCTACTGGGTCTTCCCTTTGTCCTCCTTCCCAGCTTGCCCCGAGCCACAGGGCTCACCATTAGGTGACTCTTACCAGACTGTGGCTTCTGCCCCGCCGGAGAGTTGCATAGAAGTGCAGTACTCGGGAGTCACAGCGAACTACTGTAGGGTTGAAATCCAGCACACGCAGGCCCTGTAGGCTACGTGCCCGAGAGAGGGCCACATAGGCTTGACCACTGGCAAACACACGGCCCAGAGAGATCTCTACACAATCCAGAGACATGCCCTGGGGGATGGAGGGACAGATAAAGCCAGCTTAGCCTTAAGTCTCTTGAGCCTGAGTGACCTTCTACTAGCCAGCCTAGCCACTGCACCTAGATGGCCTCACCTATCCAGGGTTTCCAGCTCAAAGGAAAGCTGGGTACTAGATAGGTTTGAATACAGGGGGGGACCAGGAGACAAAATCCAGAATAAGGGTTGAGGGACAGGATCAGAAAAAGCTGTGGGTCATACAGGTATGGAGCCAAATCCTAGCTCTGCCTCTCCGCTGTGTGTCTTAGCACCTTGGTTTTCTGCTCTGTGTAACTTTAATGATTATTATATCAATACTTCATCTGGTTGTTATTAGGATCAGCCTATTCTGATTATGGCCAGGAGATGGCAGAGGGGAGAAAGACATGAGCTAGGAAATGCACTAAAGAAAAGCTTAGGGCAAGGATGTGGCTCAGTTGGTAGCATGTTTGCCTAGCATTCAAGCATGCACAAAGCCCTGGGTTCAGTCCCCAGTACTGCACAAACTGGGCATGGTGGCACACACCTGTAATCCCAGCTCTCAGAGGGTAGAGGCAGGAGGATCAGAAGTCCAAGGTCATCATCAGCTACATAACAAGTTTGAGGCCAGCCTGGGCTACTGAGACCCTGGTGAAGTAATGAAGGAAGGAGGAAAAAAAGAAAGCAAAGAAGGAAGGAAGGTTTTTTTCTCCTGATCTCAACTTTCCATCTAGGGAAAGTTTGACCTGTTTAAGACAAATATTCCAGGATGCTCCAGGCATATCCTGCCCACTGTCTGCCCTGTCTTGCCCATACCTGCACTAGGTAGTCACCTGACTCTTGTGGATGGACATTGCCCAGGCCAGCTGGAGGGGAAGCTGCTGTCGGCTGAGGAAATGGCCCCCGGTGACCTGTACCGTCCAGCGATCAGTGCGGATGACCTCAGTGACACCACACAGGAACCGTACCTGGGGCAGCCCTGAGGAAGGCATGGAGAAGTTCCACTTTCTATCTAGCCACCCCGTGGCTTTGCTGTGCTGCAAAACAAACCCAAGAAGTATGACCCCCCCCTCCACCATCACTTACCTCTCCCTTCAGCTTCAAACCCAACCACCACTCCCCGGGCACCGTTCACCAGGCCCCGAGATACCGCCAAGTTCTTCACCAGCATGACCTGCAGGGGAAGGGTAAGTACACAGATGGAGACAGACTCTGTTTCTGTGCCTGGCTCATCTCTAGCAGTTAGGGTTCAGAGGCTGAGGTGGGACTATCATGGAAATGAATCTCAATCCTTAGCTCTACTACCAGCTGACTTTGGCCTCTAGGACAAGCTGCCTTATTTTCTTGGATCTTGGTTTTATCTTGTGTCAAAGGGGCATAGTATTTATCAGATTGCCTCAGAAGAAGGTGGTAAAGCCAGTAGGGTAATCTACATTACAGGGCTTTCAAAACGGTTATATCTAGCTAGGCATGAAGGCAAAAGCAGGCAGATCTCTTTTGAGTTTGAAGCCATCCTGGTCTACACAGGGAGTTTTAAGGCCAGCTGGGACTACGTAGTGAAACCCTATTTAAAAAGAATGAAAGAGGGGCTGGAGAGATGGCTCAGTGGTTAAGAGCACTGACTGCTCTTGCAGAGGACCCGGGTTCGATTCCTAGCACCCACATGGCGGCTACGAACCATCCTTAACTCCAGTTCCAGGGGACTCTGAAGCCCTCTTCTGACCTCTGAGGCACTGTACAACATGGGTGCACTCACATACATGTAGGCTATACACTCATACACATTAAATAATAAATAAAATATTTTTTAAAAAAAGATATCTCAAAAAGAAAGGAAGGTTTAATCCCAGCATTCGGGAGGCAGAGGCAAGTGGATCTCTGTGAGTTCAAGGCCAGCCTAGTCTACATAGTGAGTTCCAAGCCAACTGCAGCTACAGGGAGACCCTGTCTCAAAGAAACAAACAAAAAAAAAGGGAAGGAAAAGATAAGAGAGAGAAGGAGAATGAAAAAGGGTAGATCTATTAAGGGGACCACAAGTCTTGGGGGATGATCCCTAGGCCCCGCTACTCCTCTCAGCCAGAATGCTTGAATTTTCCCTTGAGTGCCCAGAGACCCCTGAGGAAAGTCTCCCCTTCTTGCCCAACCCCATGAAAGGAGGGGTCAGGACTTGCCAATCTACAAGGTACAGTAGTACAGAACACCATGGGGGAATCATTCCACCAGGGAATTGAGCTTTGGCAAGGGAAAGGTCTTGCCCAAAGTGACACTGCCTGAGAGATCTCCAGATGTTTAGGAGGGCAGTAAAAGCTGAAGACAGATAAGTGGGCAAAAAAGCAGGTGAAAGTGGTCATAGCTACACCCACTGGCTACAGAGTGGTCTAGGTAGAGTGATAAGGATCAGGGAGGTCCATGTAGGATAGCCCTGCTTCACACTCACCTGGGCCCCCAGCTTTAGTTGAAGGACATGGCTAACGGGACACTGGGCATCCAGGATCCAGGCTAGCTCAGGGTTACTGTCCATAGCCTCGAAGCTGTGTACCTCACCTGGAAAAAAAGAGTTAGGAAAACGGATTAGGTATCATTGACCTCTGGCCTCAGCTTCCAAAATGTATTAGATCAGGGTGTGGGGCAGGGAGATAGGTGAACCTGGGACAGCTCAGGCCTAGCTGGGGCCTTGGAATCAGTTCACCACAGCTTGTAGGTCACAGATATATTTGTAAATGTAAAGGCTTTGGCCTTAGAGTTTGGGCCTGGATTGCCAGGGGCAGGCATGTGTGTGGGGATGAGGGGTATACCTGTCTAACAGTCCCTCTCAGCCAGTCCTTGCCCAGCCCTAGTGTTCCACTTACCTGGAAGTTCCTGCAGACACTTCTTGTTGGTAAGGGCCACATCATCCTGGTGGGTGCAGAGTCTCGTGGCCATAATTCCATCTTGCCCTACCTTATGGGCAGCTGTGGCCCTGAGCTGGCGAGTCACTTCATCTGAACATCTGTGGGGACTTGGCTGTCAGGCTAGAGCTCCCTTGGACACCAGAGAAGGTGGCAGCAGTACAGCCTGAGCAGCAGGCCACAGGTCAAGGCTTGGGACCCAAAAAGAACACTACCCCCAGGAGGAATTGGCTACCTCCAACCCCACAGTGCTATCTACAAAGCTGGATATAGTGAGAGCACAGGCTAGATGTTTGCAGATCTGAAACAAGAGGTTAGTGTTGAAACCTTGTAATACTGGGTACCCTGTCATCAGATCAGGGTACAGTCTTCTAGCCACTTGTCTATTGCCTTGGCTGAAATAGCTAGCCTGAGTTTTCTTTTTATTTATGTGTGTAGGGGAATGTGTGTATATGTACGTGTCTGTGTGTGTGTGTGTATGTGTAAGCAGGTGCTTATGTGTGTGCATGCTTATGAAGGCTAGAGATCAGTGCTGTATGTCTTCCTGAATTGCTTTGCACCTTTAATTTTTTTTTCTTTTATTTTAATATGTATGCGTGTTTGCCTACATGTATGTAAGTATACTATGTGCATGTCATGCTTGTGAGACCAGAAGAGGGCATCACATCTCCTGGAACTGGAATTGCAGATGGTTGTTAGATGCCATGTGGGTACTGGGAACCAAACCTGGGTCCTCTGCAAGAACAGCCAGTGCTCTTAATTGCAAGCCTGTAATCAATCCCTAGCACCAAGGAGGTGGAGACAGGGGCGGGTCAGGAGTTCAAGGTCATCCTTGGTTACATAGCAAATTCCAGGCTAGCCTAGGCTACATGAGATATCCCCTCCCTCAACAACAGACAAACAATGCAGACCCATGCTTGAATCCTCATCTCATGGTCCCTCTCATCCTCCAGAACTCACCTGCCCAGTCTCACAGCCTGCAGCAGGGAGATGAAGGTCTGGTCTGCCTGTCTCCACACTTTAGTCAGCTCTACAGTCACTGGCACACACCTCCTCCAGCTCTTGGCCTGGCAGGGAAGGATAGGTGTGGGTTAGGGAACAAAGCAGACACCCTCCCCCCAACCCTTGTATCCCACATAAGTTGAGGACCAGGGTGTAAGTGGTACCTGAAAGCAGAATCGAGGGGGCTGGAGGCCCTTGGTCACTGGTGGCAACTGTAGGAAGTCCCCACAGATGATGAGCTGGATCCCTCCAAATGGTTTGTTCTGCTGCCGAACAGCTCTGGAAGCGGGAGCAGGGAGTGCTTTAGAGAGGCTGAGTGGGCAGGCTCCTTGTTGAAGCCACCAGACTCCAGCCTCAGTGACCACCCTCATTGCATATACTAACCTTGCCACAGCTTCCAGCTTGTCAAACAAGTCTGCTTCCACCATGGAGATCTCATCAATGACTAGGCGTTGACAATTCAGCCAGCCCTGCTGCACACCTGGCCGCTGGGCCAGGGCCACACACTGGGCCAGAGGAGCCTGACCTGAGCCAATGCCTGTAAATAAAACTATTCAGCCTGGGCTGAGACCCTAGCCCCTTGATCCCTCCTTTCTCAAAGGCCTAACTTGCTCTTAACTCAAGCTCAGGGGCTCCCACTTACCTGCAAAGGCATGAAGGGTGGTGCCCCCAATGTGGCAGGCTGCCACCCCAGTGCTGGCAGTGGCCACAGTGCCAGTGGGGGGCAGAGAGCCTAGAATACGCTTCAGCAGATATGACTTTCCTGTCCCTAGGTAGAACGCAGAGTCAGGACTCCTTGTTCCTTCATCCCACCCTACCACCAACCCCCTGGCCCACTCTGCCTCTACTACCTGCACTCCCAGTAAAGAAAATGCTCTGGCCTTTCAGGGCCATCCTCAGCACAGCAGCCTGCTCCTCAGAAAGCTGTGGCTTGGTGGGGTGCATACTCAGCTTCTTCACAGGCAGGGGCCACCTTGGAGCTTCCTGGGGGAAAACAGGGTTGTCTCAGAGCCTCCTGCCATGCTGCTTGGCCTGTATGCAATGCAGGCCAGGTAGCCCTTTGCCACTCTGTTGACTTCACTCCTTGGAACTCTTGGGCAGGAGCTCATGCCAGTAACTACTGTGGTCTAAGTCTCTCCTTGTGCCCCAAGGATCCCTAGTCAGTGTGTCTGGATCCTCTCTCTGCTTCCTCTCCTGGATTCCTTTAACTTTTCTGGTTCTATCACTCAGCTTTTCTTTTCACTTTTCTTCCTATCACAAACCTGTATCTCATCTCAAAACACCCAAGCAACAAATCCCTGTCTAGCCAGAGCTCTGTCTCATTCCACTAGCTTTATGTTCTCTTTTATTTTTATTTTTTGGTCTTTTTGAGATAGGGTCTCCCTGTAGCCCCAGCTGTCCTGGAACTCACTATGTAGACCAGGCTGGCCTTGAACTCACAGAGATCCGCCTGCCTCTGCCTCCCGAGTGCTGGGATTAAAGGTGTGCCCCACCACACCAGGCCCCTGTGTTCTCTTTTAAATTAAAAATATTTTTAAACTTTTATACACAGGGTCTCACTAGTCTGGCCTAGAACTTGATATGTAGACCAGGCTGGCTTAAAACTGCCTGGTATCATGCTGGGTATGGTGGCACACACCTTTAATCCCAGCAATCGGGAGGCAGAGGCAGTTGGATCTCTGTAAGTTCAAAGCCAGCCTGGTCTACATAGTGAGTTCCAGGACAGCTGGGGCTACGGGGAGACCCTGTGTCTCAAAAAGACCAAAAAAGAAAAAACGAAAAAAAAAAAACCCTGCCTGGTATCAAATGCCCCACTGTGCCACTTTGTGCTTTCTTGCTCTCATTCTTTTCTTTCTTTTAAAGGATCTCAGGTAGACCAGGTTCACCTCAAATTCACTGTGTAGCCGAGGATGATATTCAACGTCTGCCTCCACCTCCTGAGTGCTGGGATTACAAGCCTGTGCCCCAACACCCAGTTTATTCAGTGCTGGAATGGAACCCCAGCCTTCATGCATGCTAGGCAAGCACCTGGTCCAGTGAGCTACATCCCCACCCTCCATCTCTGGCTTTTTTTTAAAATTTACTATTTTTATTTTATGTGTGTATTGCCTGCGTGGAGCTAAGTGCACCCGTGTCGTGGTGCAATGCCGGCAGAGGACAGAAGAGGCTGTCAGATCCCCTGGAACTGGAGTTACAGGCAGTTGTTAGCTGCCATGTGGGTTCTGGGATTCGAACTCAGGTCTTCTGCAAGAACAACCAGTGTTCTTAACGCTGAGCCATCTCTCCAGCCCTTATTTATTATTTTTATTTTATGTGTATGAGTGTATTGCCTGCATGTATGTATGTGAATGCACCCGTGTCGTGCAATGCCGTGGAAGTCAGAAGACTTCGGATTCCCCTGGAACTGGAGTTAAGGACTGTTCGCAGCCGCCATGTGGGTGCTGGGAATCGAACCCAGGTCCTCTGTAAGAGCAGTCAGGGCTCTTAACCGCTAGGCCATCTCTCCAGCCCCCATCTCTAGCCTTTTACCAGCTCAATACCAAGGCCCTTCTTATTAGCGACCACACCTGCTCCAGTCTACAACCACAGCCAGACCCACCAGATGGTTTTTCCTCAGGTGATTGGGCTGTTGGCTACCCCCTGACCTGCTCCCTCTCCTTTGTCTCCCAAAGCTGCTCTCTGCTGGGCCTATCACACTCCTGTTCTTCCTTCTTTAGTTTCCTTGCCTGGTCTCCTGCCCTTTCTTCCACAGTGGCCTGGAACCTGGTTTTCTGTTCTCAGTTTACCACAATCTTGGAAATTTTGCTACGAGCACGGTGGGTTCCCACGTTTCTGCCATACTGAGATGTCCGATGGGCAGCTCAGATCACCGGTTTCCCCCAACCTTGGGCCTCCTGGGTCTCCTCCATCTTTAAGAGTAGCACACCGACTCTTCTGGTCCTCACCTTGCTAGGTTTGGACTCCGTCTTGGATTCCGTTGGTCGCTTCTCCAGCGTGGAGTTTGGAACCCGGGTAGCCGCTGCACGCCGCAGTTCCTCCGGCTGCACCGGGCTGATGTTGACAAAGTCTCGGGGTCTCGGGCCAAGCAGCTGCGCGCGGGCAGACGCAGGTCCGGGACCAGGGGCGCCCGCCAGCTTCAAACGCAGTGTGCGCAGGAAGCGGCGCAGGCGGTCTGGGGGACAGTCGGAGAGCAGCAGCTGCACCGAGCCCGCCCGAGGGGCGCCGTCTGCTGTGAACCGCAGGGTGCTGCGCCCGGCCGCGGCGAAGCGAGTGAAGAGACGCGCGGTGCGCAGAGGGAAGCAGCGTGGACGCCCCGCGGGTCCCGACGCCTGGAGCCGCAGCATCAACTCGCGGCGCTCGTTGCGACCAAGGCTCAGCTCTGCGCTGCGCAGGGCCTGGCGCTTCCGAGGCTGCCCGCCGGGGCTCAGCTCCTCCACCGCCACCCGGCAGCGCAGCTCCGCGTCGTCACATTCTGCAGCCGCAGCTTCCGTACCGGAGAGCATGGCTACGGCCTCTGCGGGTGTGCAGAGACCCGAACACAGAAGCACGGAAAATCGGGATATAGTAGTGGAATGGATGCCGGGACGGAGAACTCTGCGCACGTAGGGTCACGGAGGTAGTCACTGATAACAGAGACAGGAGGCCGCAGAGATAGTACAAGCGCCCCGAGGCGAACAGAAAACCCACTCTAAAAATGCCGTCCGCTGCGGTTCCCGGAGCGGTGGGCCCCGCAGCGTCAAAAGCCTGGAAGTCCTGCAAGGGCCACGTCCTTGCCCAGAAAAGATTCCTGCTTTAAGAGACCCAGGGCAGCACGGGAATCCGCAGAGACCAGGAAACAGAGGTCACACGTGGGGAGACGGGAAGGAGACAGATGCCCTCTGTCTTCCAGGTTTCTACAGAGTCAGGAAGGTTTCACTGTTACAGAGGTGGATACAGGGGAGCTAGGCACATTCTTCATAAGCCAAAAAATTAGTAGGTATCAGGGTCAGTGTGATTCTAGGGCTCCGGGACCTGTGAGTGTTTACCTAGGGAATTTACGGAATTCCTTGGCTCAGGAATCCGTGCTCGGTCTGACCCACTCGACTGTACCTCTCCCGGCGGGGACCCCTAAAAGAATCGCGTCCTTTCGCCTCCCCATCACTTCAGATATCCGGCAGACTCACTTGTGGCTGCTTTCAGAGGAAGAAGCAGGTCTGAACGGCAGGCAGCAAAGCTGCAACACAAGGAACTTTCAAATACTAGGAATAGGAAAATTACCCTATCACGGGCCTGGTCTTTAAATTCTCCAGCCAATCAGGGAAGGGGGCGTGGCCACGGGCGTGCCTTTCATGGCCTTCCAACTCCTGAGGTCTGGGTTGAACCAATCGCAGTCGGGAGGAAGGGAGTTTAGGGTGTTAGAGGAGAGGTTAAATGAGTGGGCGTGGTGGGGAAAGGAAGAGGCTGAGGCTGGCTGCGCGTGGCGTGCTGTCATCCCACGCTGCTCTGGAGATCTGAAAACCATTCTTCCAACACACACCCTTTTCCTTCTGGCCCGCGTTCGGTGACTGTGCTTAGCCTTAGATCTGTCTCATCCCTCACACCATTGTTCCCTGGGCAGGCCACCTCAGAGCCAGCCTGGTCTGCTGCTTTGTCCCTCAAACTTTTTTTTCCAACCTTCTCTGACCTGCTAAGAATCATGGGTAAGAAACTGTTTTGTTTTGTTGTTGTTTTTTGTTTGTTTGTTTGTTTTTGTTGTTTTTGTTTTGAGACAGGGTCTCCCTATGTCGTCCTGGCTGGTCAAGGACTCAAAGATTCACCCACCTCTGCTTCCTATATGCTGGGATTAAAGGCGTGTGTCACCTGACCTGCCTATGGGTAAGGAACTTTGAGACCAAAGCCAGTGTCCAGAGGGTATAAGAGTGAGTCCTTGTCTTCAGAGAATTCTTATTCCTCTTGTTGTACTGGCTGCTCAGGGAATTTTATTTATTATTTTTGAAACTTGTTCCTGCTACACTGTTTTGGGTGGCCTTGGATGCCTGGGCTTAATGGATCCTCCTCCCTCAGCCTCCTAAGTAGCTGTGACCCTAGGCACCTGCCACCATCCCAGCTCTGAGAACTTACTTTTAATTATTATTTTTCCTTCACTGGAGCTTGGCATTGCATAGCTGGAAGGGATCTTCCATGTGAGTCAAGTCAGCTCATTTTACAGATAATGATAGTCACTATAGATTAAATTACCTTTCATTCCCTCCCTCCTTTTCTCTTTCCCTTTCTTTCTTTCTTTCTTTCTCTCTCTCTCTCTCTCTCTCTCTTTCTTTCTTTCTTTCTTTCTTTCTTCAGGTTGTCCTATATCCCAGGCTGGCCTTGAACATGCTGTATAGCTGAGAATGATCTTAAATTTTTGACTCTCTGGCCCCCACCTCCTGAGTTGATGGGATTATAGCCCTGAGCCACCAAGCCCAGTTTTTTAGGTATATTTTATATAAAATACAAATAATAAAAAAAAGTATTATTTTTCTGTATCTTTTTTTTTTGGCTTTTTGGGACAGGGTCTCCCTGTAGCCCCCTCTGTCCTGGAACTCACTATGGAGTGGACCAGGCTGTGAACTCACAGAGGTCCGCCTGCCTCTGCCTCCCGAGTGCTGGGATTAAAGGTGTGCGCCACGGCACCCGGCCTTGTAATTTTTTTTTTTTGTCTTTTTGAAGCAGGGTCTTCCTATAGCCCCAGCTGTCCTGGAACTCACTGTGTGGACCAGGCTGGCCTTGAACTCACAGAGGTCCACCTGCCTCTGCCTCCCAAGTACTGGGATTACAGTTGTGCGCCACCACACCTGGCCTTGTAATATTTTTTTTCAAAATGTAGATGGTGACAACCACCCTATGAGAACATTTCTCTTGCAATAGATTTCCTTCATCCCTCTCCAGAGGAGGAAAATAGTACCTGGTGCAGAAGTCTAGTTCCTACTTCATGGATATGACATTTCCATGATGCTATAGAATCGCCATAGTGTGTGCTGGCTGTCTTCTTTCAGCCTACAGGTGGAAAAGCAAGGCTTACAGAAGGATGCTTCTTCAGGAGGAAGTGGCACCCTGAATGGAGATGAGTGAGAAACAATCTACCAATAAACACATTTTGGATTTTTTTTTTAGACAGGGTCTCCCTGTAGCCCCAGCTGTCCTGGAACTCATTTTGTAGACCAGGCTGGCCTTGAACTCACAGAGATCTGCCTGCCTCTGCCTCCCGAGTGCTGGGATTAAAGGCATGTGCCACCCCTGTTCTGGATTTTTTTTTTTTAATGTAATAACAAGGGCTGGAAAAATGGCTCAGTGGTTAAGAGCATTTGCTGCTGTCTTCCAGAGGGCCCAAGTTCAGTTCCCAACACCCAAGGCAGTTAGTTCACAATTGTCTGTAACTCTGGCTCCAGGGTATCCAACATGCTCTTCAGGCCTCCAAGGGCACCAGCACTTGCATGAGAGACACACATACATATGAATAAAAATAAAAATCTCTGGGGCTGGAGAGATGACTCAGCGATTAAGAACAGTGGCTGTTCTTGCAGAAGACCCGGGTTTGAATCCCAGCACCCACATGACAGCTAACAACTGTCCGTAACTCCAGTTCCAGGGGATCTGACAGCCTCTTGAGGCCACCAGCATTGCACAACACGGTGCACTTACCTACATGCAGGCATAACATTCATACACATAAAATAATAAATAAAATCTTTTTAAAAATCTTTTTTAAAAAGTATAGAAACATCATTATGCCCTGTGTTCAAAATTTTACCAGGCTGGCCTTGAACTCACAGAGATTCGCCTGTCTCTGCCTCCTGGGTGCTGGGACTAAAGGCACGTGTTACCATGCCCGTACTATTTCAGAACTTTTTCATCCTCATGTGGAAACATTGCACTTATTGAGACAATAATTCAGCCTTTCTCCCTATTCTCAGACCCTGGTATCCCAACATTTTACTATGAAAATACTCAAGCAAATAAAATACAGAAATGTCAAATGAATTTTACAGCAAAAACTCATATACCTACCACCATTCTCACAGTTCTAGTTAGTATTTGCTTTTTCACATGTCTATACATTTATCATTCTACACATTAATCTATTTTTTTGTTATACATTTTAAAGTTGCAGGCATCAGTACATTTTATTTCTAATAGGTTCCCTTTTTTTAGTTGTTTTTGTAATGGTGTACCCCCCCCCGCCCCGTCTTATTTATTTATTTGGCTGTACTGAGGATCAAAGTCAGGGCTTCACACAAGCTGGGCAAATGCTCTCCCACTGAGCAACATCCCCAGTCCCTGTTTTGTCTTGCTCTGGATTTTTTTAGATAATCTTGCTATACTATTCAAGTGGTCTAGAACATGCTATGCAGCAGGTTGAATTATCTATCAAATCTCCTGGCTCTGCCTCTAAAGTGCTGGGATTACAGGTGTGTGTCACCATGCCTGGCTCCATGTTTGAGACAGGGTCTCCCTGTAGCCCCTGCTGACCTGGAACTCACTATGTAGACCAAGCTGGCCTCAAACTCACAGAGATCTGCCTGCCTCTGCCTCCCAAGTACTGGAATTAAAGGTGTGGGCCACCTTGCCCGGCCTTCCCTGTTTATATTTCAATGTAACTTTCTATACAATAAAGTGTACAAATCTTTGGTTATCATTAGAGCAACTGTGACAAGTTAAGATACGTGTATAATGTATCTATTCCACATGTATAACTGTGGTTTTCTTCTTAAAATATTTTTTTAAAAAATTTGTATTATTTTTATTTTATGTGTATTCGTGTATTGCCTGCATGTATGTAAGTGCACCCGTGTCGTGCAATGCCTATGGAGGACAGAAGAGGCCATTGGCTCTCCTGGAACTGGAGTTACAGACAGTTGTTAGCTGCCATGTGGGTACTGGGATTTGAACCCCAGTCTTCTGCAAGAACAGTCAGTGTTCTTAACCGCCGAGCCATCTCTCCAGCCCAAAATAAAATTTTTTTAAAAAAGAGATTAAGCCAGGCGTGGTGGCACTCGCCTTTAATCCCAGCACTCGGGAGGCAGAGGCAGGCAGATGTCTGTGAGTTCCAGGCCAGCTGGGGCTACAGGGAGACCAAAAAAAAAAAAAAAAAAAATTATTTGTGTAAAAAAAAAAAAAAAAAAAAAAAAAAAAAAATTAAACCTAAATGAGAAAACCCAGATGTGCATCAATAGGTAACAGTGCCTGGAGATAAAAAGGAACCAATAGATATGTCTCTAAATTCATAATGCTGAATGAAAGAAAGCATTGTGCTAAAGAATACAAGTATAATTCCACTTGCAAATTACAGCAAAATAAAATAATCTGTGAAAAAAACAGAAGGTCTCTGAGGATTTAGGGTTAAGATTGACTGGGAAAGGGTGTGAGGGAGTTTTCTAGGTAGTGATGTTTTTAGAAGTTTAGGCAATGAAGATTGTTGCATGTCTGTGCTGTCCAGTGTAGTAGCCACTAGCCACATGTAGCTATTGAGCACTGAACTTGAATTTCATTTATGTCAATTTGAGATTCCAGGTTGAGGCAAGTCGTAGAGCACTTGCATAACACATACCAGGGTTCCATCTCCAACACTTAAAAAATAAAACCAGGGCTGGAGAGATGACTCAGAGGTTAAGAGCACTGGCTGCTCTTGCAGAGGATCCAGGTATGATTCCCAGCCCCGCACCCCACGGCGGCTATCAACAATCCACTCCAGTTCCAGGGGATCCTACGCCTCTTCTGATCTCCAAGGGCATTGCACAACAGAAATGCATTTACATGCATGCAGGCAATATACTCATACATACAAAGTAAAAATAATAAATTAGTTGTTAGCCACCATGTGGGTGCTGGGAATTGATCCGGGTCCTCTGCAAGAGCAGCCAATGTTCTTAACCACTGAGTCAGCCCTGTTTTTCGTCTTTTGGAGACAGGATCTCCCTGCAGCCCCAGCTGGCCTGGACTCTCTATGGGAACCAGACTGACCTCCATCTCACAGAGATCCGCCTGCCTCAGCCTCCCAAACTCCCGGCTCGGGTTTTGTTTCTTTTTAATAAATACCTAGGCAAGAAATTCTAGTAATATTCAGTACAATTTGATCCTGCTCGATCTTTGCTAAAAGAGAAGGCCCTTCTAGACCTTTTTCCAATTCAAGCATTTACAAGCAGCAACAGTGAGAACTTGTAGAGAAAAAATTCACTGTTCTACTCGACTTCCGCCTTTTGGGAAATTTAATGGCCCTTGGGCTCCGCCCTCCTCCCCACTCCTGCGCTGCTGTCTTCTGTTTTGGGTCTTGATTGGAGGGTGGAGGAGAGAGGCGGGGCCAGAGGAAGTCCTCACATTTGCGGTGCAACTTCCTCCTTTGCGGCTTTGGGTTGTTCTGCGCATTTTCGCTGCTCGGCTGCGCTGCCACTGCAAGATCAATTCCGAGGAAGGCTCAACGCTGCTTGAGGATTTCCTTTTCTAAACCTAAATCTTGGTTTGGTACAAACGCTTAGGGGTATTGACTTTGTTTAGTTATGAAACTTCTTTCCAAGTCTTGTTGTTCTGTCACTGGGAGGTACCAGTCCTCTCTCTCACTCTTTATAAACAACAATAACATTAGCCAAGGGCGGTATCATGTGATACTTTAAAAGCCCCACCCTTCCACCTTAAGAGCCTCTCTCTCCTAGCCTTTGCCTTCCAGCTTTTGCTGCCTGAAACTTGCAAGGGAAGTATTTATTTCACGATTTTGTAGCTTCCAGAGCACTAGCCAGGCATGGTAGTTTACACCTCTAATCTGAACATTTAAAATGCTGAGATAGAGGCCCACCTAGGCTACAGTGTGAGACCCTGTCTTAAACAACAAAACACCCAGTCTGTCTGTCTGCCTGTCTCTCAGCCTCTCCCTCTCTGTCCCTATCTCTTCCAATTTCATGACTTAATTATCAGTTATGTGCTGACCGTGAATATTTTACCTTGAGTCTGTCCTTCCTTGGATCTACATAGGATATCTTCACTTGTCTTTCCTAAAATCTGCACATGAAATGTCAATTGGAATGTCACATTCACTTTCTCCAGTAAGGAGCTTTGTTGTTTTTTTGTTTGTTTAGATGGGGTCTCCCTGTAGCCTCAACTGGCCTGAAATTTGCTATGAAGATCAGGATGACTTAGATTCCTGGCTTTCATCCTGCCCTTTTATAATCCATTCCACAGTGGGTTTTTCTTTTTGAAAGACATAAATCCATAAAAAACAAGGTCCCTGAGCCCTGCCATATCTTCCACTAGTGAAGGGCCTGACAGACAACCAATAAAATGTTTGTGTCAAATGAATAAATGCATGTGGTAACCCAGACATAGTGCTGCATTCCTGTAATCTCAGCAGTGGGGAGGCTGAAGCAGAAGAACCGCCATGAATTTGAGGTCAGCCGGAGCTATATATCTATGAGTACCAGGCCACCAGTCTACACAAGATCCTGCCTCAAATAGCAAAATACATAGTGTGGAAGCAATAATCAGAAAGCCAGCTCAGGCTAGGTTGGGAAACTGAGGGCAGAGTGGTTACCACTGGTTCCCTCCCCAAAGTGACAGAACCTGTCTGGATATCAAAGTCCACCTGGCCTCACTGCACTGCCTAACAGGACTGCTTCTGTGTAACAATACAGATTTCTCTGGTCTCTGATCTCTTGTAGGTGGAACCTGAGTTTCCAAATACAAGCTCTCCTGAGTCTTCAGGTAAGGGGTACACCACTGTACATCTCTGAAGATGGAAAAAATAGCCATGTGTTTACTGTAAGAGATTGTCAAATATACCCACTGCCTCAGGTCCTGGGGCTTTATTTTCTTCACCACCTCCACCTTGGCTATTGCCTTCTTCAATGTAGAGCTGGAATTGGTCTGGGAGCCATAGAACCAGCAGAGGGCAGTGAAAGGGGAGCTTGATCAACTAGTGTAACTGCTGCTATGGCAGCAAGAGCCAAAGGAGGTCACCATTGATCCCGTGAACATGTGATTTTCTGCGTTGTGGCACCGGACGGGCCTGACCGGGAAAGCTTCTGTGTTCGGGGGTGGGGGTGGGGGTGCCGGAGGTAGTCACTCTCTGAGTTTCTTTTTCTCCAGTGTAAAATTAAAGTGCAAGGTATAATTTAAAGCATTTCTCTACTGGTCCCTACACTACACGACAGCAACATTATCAGGATTGGATGGAGTGAAGGTGAAGGAGTCGGCCCAGTACACAGGAACAAGAGGGACTGAACGATACCCACGCAAGGCAGGAGAGCACTGCATTTGGGGACCCCCGGGAGCCAGGGGCAGACCTCCCCACAAAGAACCTCAGAGTCCAGACTCCAACCCCTGGGTCTTCCTGTTACATGACACTGGACATAAACCCCCAAACCCATGGCCCGGCCCCGCCCAGAAGCTCCAGAGAGCAGAGGACCATCGCCACTGCCCCGACGTAGGGGAGGAAAGAGGAGGAATCTCTTTGTGCACTCATTTCGAGGCCGTCCTGGGCAGTTGGATCCAGTCCCGCAACCTCAGCCCACTTGGTCAGGCGACCTTAAAGGCATCAACCACCCCACCGCCTTCAGTGCTTGCTCGGTGTGTCCCGCCCCCGCCCCGCCCCTGAGCCCCGCCGGCATCCCTCGCCACCGCCTCTGGGCCGGAAGCCCCCCCTCTCCGCGCCTCCCCCACCGTCCGTACCCACTCCTAGTCCCTCTCTCCCAGGGTCCGGGAAACCTCTCTCCGCCCTCTTCCTCCGACCTCAGCTCCGCCCCAGCTCTTCCGTCCAGTCCTGGGGCCCTGGCCCGGCCCCGCCCCGAATCCTCCCAGCCCCGCCCCCGCGTCCCTGCCCGACCACGCCCACTTCGCTGCTCAGGGAGGGGTGCCCTGAGGCCCGCTACACCCCTCCCCGGCCCCGCCCCCGGCCCCCGGAAGCCTCTGCCCGCCCCCGGCCCCGCCCCCCGAAGTTTCTTGGGTCCGGGGCGGTCGGCGGGACCGAGCGTAGAGAGCCGCCGCCCGGCTGCGCGTAGATGGAGCTGGCGGACCCTGCACAGAGCAGGCAGTGAACGGCGGAGCGGCCGTACTTCACGGACGCGCCATGGAAGAGGTGAGGGCTGAGTCAGGCAGAACGGGGCGCTGCGCTGGGGTTTGCGAGCCCCGCACCGGACTGGGGTCCTGGACTCGGGCCCTCCATCCTGCCCGCCCCACTCCCACCGATCTCGGGATCCCCTTTTCCGTTCCTTCTCCTGGGCAAACCCTCGACCGATGGGACTGGGGCTGGGTGGAGATCGCCTCCGGCACTTCGCAGACAGCATCCTTCATTATGTTTTGGGCTTTTCTCACCAACTGGAAATAGTGGCTGTTATTGTTCCCATTGAATTGATGGGGAGACTGAGGCTCTGGCGAGTTTGATGACTTGCATAAAGTGGCTTGGATTGCTGTGCTTCATTGAACCCTGTTACCCTTCCTTGGCTTTCGGTGCTTGTCCCCGTTGGGTCCTCCCCTGATGGGTCAGACCGCTTATGCATGTGTGCTAGGTGGAGGGAAGTTCTTCAGGTTCCTGGGCCACTGTCTCAAGGAATCAGGCTGTAATCGAGCTTGGTGGCAGGACTGAAAAAATTGCTTTTGTCTCCCTTGTGTAAATCTGAGTCCCCACTGCCCTTGCCTGGTACCCGTCTGAGGACACTAGCTGAGGGGTCAGGCTCTGGTCAACTAACTCTCCCGGTAGCAAGAGGGCTGGAACAGCAATGCCCCTTGAACCTCCTCTACCCTCTCAAGGTGGGATCAGGTACCCTGTGACCTCTGTCATTTATATGCAGACTTGATTCTCCCTTGCAGCCCCATCATCCAAGTGTCCAGCATACAAGAGTCACTTATCGAAAGTCTGTGGAATGGATAAAAAGATGACTTTCTTGTCCCTTGAAGGGTCCCAGCTTCTGCCCTTTGAAGCTCAAAGGAAGAGAACGTGTCTTTGCCTGAATGGGTGGAGAAGACAGATGAAGCCTTCCCTCCTGGAGCCACCCCGGCCAGCTGGGGAGCCCTGAGTGAGCTCAGCTGCCTGTGTTAAGCTAGTGTCCTCATCTCCACTTCCTGAAGCCACTGCTCAGGAGCAGTGAGGCTGCCTGTTCCCTCTAGGCTGCCTGTCTGTTCCCTCTAGGCTAGGCCCTTCTCCTCTGTGGGATGGTAGATAAGTCACTTCCCCTCTCAGCCTTCATTTCCTCTTCTATAAAATACAGGGCCTAACCTCCTCCCCTAGGTCTGGCACAGTATGATTGTGGTCCCTACTTTCAGAATGGGACCCAGGTAGGGGAGCAAAGTCAGGCCATTGTGATTTGCTGTGGTTTCTTACTGTCATGGGTGGGGTTGCTGCCTGCTGCTGCAAGGGCTGGATTCTTTGGCCAAGGCCCCTCCCATGCTCCCAGAGGATGTGGATCAGGGTTACTCCATCTCCTGATCTGCTCTGGCCCCCAATTAAAGGAAGTTCTGGGGCCTCCTGGGCTCAGTCCAGCTCTGTGCTCCCTCTGGTCCGTAATCCCTAACATTGCTACTTTCTGACTTCCAGATACCAAAAGCTCCTTAAGTATATGGGTCATTTCAGTCTGGCCCATTTTACTTCCTCCCCTAACCCTCAGCCTCACCCCACACATCTAGGGGTTCTCTGTCCCTGTCCTCCCCCTGGCATCTCTAACTCATGTTTTCACCTACTTCTAATGTCCCCTTGTTTCTCTAGACCTCTATACATCTTTCTCTAAAACACCTCTTAGCTCATGATCACTTGGTCTGCCCCTGACCTCAGACTACCTCATCACCTCACTTCCACATGGCTGCTTTGAGCTCTCCTGCTGGCTTTTTACTTCCTGGGTCCCAGCTACCCTGGAGCTAAGCCCCCTCAGCCTCTGGGCAGTGGGATGATAGTTGGTCTCTATAAGGCTAATGCTTGGTGAAGAAGTATTGATCCCTAAGCATCTGTCTACTTGCATTCTCTGGTCCTCAGTTTTCCCAACTGTAAAATGAAGGGTGGGTTATCCAAAATTTTGATAATGTATATACAAAGCCTTGAAAACCACAAATTTCAATAGAGGTGTTGTTGCTGACTCTGGAGTAAGGTTAGACAAACCTTGGCTCTAGGCTTCCTTGGTTCTGCTCCACTGCCCTCCAAAAGTCATGTCTTTCCCTAGCTCTAGACTGCCTACTTGCTCTCACCATTATTGTGCCAGGCAGGGAAGTGTCCTGTCACAGCACTGGTTTTGTGACATGGGGCTAACCTAACCCCTTGCCCTTTCTGGACTGTGCTTTCCTTTTCTGTAGTGTAGGGGGCAAGAGTGTGAAGACTTCAACACTGTTGCCTTTACATCTCCACTTTCCCCCTACTTTCTGAAAGGATTTCCTAGCTAATCCCAGGCCTTTGCCCCAGCAGAGAGCTGGGATGGGAGCTCTCTAGGGTAAGTGCCATGACTTTCCAAGCACATAGGAGTTCCCCTTAAGGAGGGGATAGCCCCCCCCCAGCCTCTAAACCAGGGGCTTCCCTTAGGCAGGGTCTGAGTTGTCCCCATTAGCCTAGAAGATCTCCCAGGGCAGAGCCTGTGCTGCTTCTCCCTTTGGACCCATCAAAAGACTGATGGAGTGGGTTCTTAACACTGTGGCAAAGTATCATTGAGTTTAGTCAAAGGCTGAAGTCATCACAAGCTGCCTGAGATGTGACATGCCAGGTTTCTTCCGCTAGTCTCTGTCTCTCTGTCACAATGTTGGAATTTTATATCTAACCCCTCTGTACACAGGGTCAGGGTGACCTTTTTTTTTCCCTATTTTAAAGAATGGCTCTGAGACACTCTCTTGTCTCCCATGTGAGATCTAGGGAGACAGACTGATGCCGGGAGGTACTTCAGGACCCTAGGAACTGCCTGTATTAGGCAGGAGAGGGCCTGCTGAGAATGGATGGGAGGAAGGGTTGAACAGAAACAGTGGTCAGCTGGTCAATAAGAAGAGAGGAGCTGGAGAAACTGGGCTGAGCAGGACAAAACCTCTCCTGTGAACCCTGCCAAGAGGAGGGGTGCCTTGTTAAAACTTACTGGGGTATAGCCAGACCCCCTGATGGGAGGAGGTCTAAGGGGCAGAAGGGGGCTGGGTAGAGGGTGGAGGCAGGTAGGACCCTTGGCCTTCAGCCAGGCTTCCTGTAGGAAGGCTGGGTTTTGCTTCATACCATCTGCAGCCCCTCAACTGTCCCCTCCCCTATCCCAAAATACAGTCCCATCCTGGTCCCACCCATCCTTGCAGGCCTTGGACTAGCTTCCATAGCTAATCTAGTCATGGTATTCACTAGGTACTGGTGTGCTACACCCTGGGCAGAGGTGACAGTGATCAAGGCCCTAGGTTTCGGCCTTGGCCGCCAGCAGGTGGGAAGTTTTTATATGTCAGGCAGTGGGAATGGTCAGTAGGGGAGCTCACAAGTGGATTCAGTTTAGAAAGGGGTGTGAGATCCCCCGGGATGGTGGGTTGGGCCCCCTGAAATTAGAAGATGAACTTGGAGCTCAGAAGTGAGCGATCTGGGCAGCAGCTATATGTTCCACAGTCTCCACCCTCTGGTTTAAGAGAAACAGATTTCAGGGCCTAGAAGGTGGCCAGGAGTGCTGGAGTTGATGGTAAAGTGAGTTATGGAATGTGGGTATAGGGATTCCTACTCCCTAGTTCTTCCCTTCTAGCCCTGGGCCTTTTGACAACTTGCATGGGTCACTGAGGGCCTTAGGTTCCTGGGCATCTGCAGACCATGGGAATGGAACACATGGTATCAGCAGTGACTTAGGAGGGGCAGTTGGGTACATGTTTGAATGGGAGAACCTCCTTGTTCTTGTCAAAGGGCCCTGAAGTCTCTGCCTTCCTTCCCCTAGGGGGATGGCTCATAACTGGCCAGCTTCATGCATCCTCATTCCTGCATCCAGGAAGATCTTTTGGCACCATCCCACTTCCCCATTTCTCTTGCTATCCACAAGTTAGAGAGAACCTCTGAGGGGGTTCCCCACTTTCCTGGATATCTGGGGCTAGCACCTGTAGTCCAGCCATAGCTCTGAATTGAAAACTAGACCTAGAGAGAAAGCCCCTGAGAATCAGAGGTGGTAGCATTGACAACAGTGAGGGGAGTAATGGCTCTAGTTGGGGAAGTCAGGGTATCCTATGAGCTGCTTGCACACCTTATCTTCAAGACTCCCCTCTTGGAGTCTTGTTTCTACACTTGATCTTAACCAAAAGGCCAAGAAACATTGTAATCCTACTTCTCACAGCTACTGTTGGTATCTCCATTTCCCAGGTAAACAAACTGAGGGACAGAAAGAGATTGCATGGTTTGCCCCTGGTCTGTATGACTTGGGTTCCAAAGTTGGACCTCCCAATTACCAATCTAAGAGGTGAGAAGCTGTCTGGAGCCTCTCTGCCTTGATAGAGGAGGGAAGCTAGGCCCTGCCCAGCTCCTGACAGCTCACCACACTTATATCTGCCTGGGCTTGTCGTTCCAAAGACAGCTGTGGCCACAAGGTATCTCTGGGGAGAGGTGTGCCTCTTAACTGGGCCCCTTTCTTGAACTTTATGTAAATTATAGCATAGTGGAAATTAGTGTGGATTTCCTTCTAGTGTCTTATAGATTCTGACACACTCTTGACCCTCTTTTACCCACCCTCCTTTAACACTATCCCAAGTACCAGTACGTTCAATAAAGTGGGTAGCAAATTGAATATATTTTTATTTTCATTTTGAAAATACATCTTGAGTTCTCATTAGATGTCAAAGAACAAGGTTGAGTGCTTAGGGCCCAGAGGTGAATCTGACACCATTTAGTTGGCATATAGACATGCATGAACCCACTTGCCCAACACCCAGCCACTTGATCAGGTAATGGATGGGGCGCAAGATGACTGGCCCCGAGGCTGCAGTTTGACTACTATGTGTAAAAGGACAGGAACTTAATTTCTATACCAGCCTGCAGTTGAAGAAGCAGATCTCAGAGCCCTCACCACATGAAGTAATCCCACCCCCAGTCCTGGCCTAGGGTGCAGATGAGGACTGAGGAGTCTGCTTGCTTTTGGGAAGGAAGTTGGGGCTAAAGAATGGATTCTCTAGAAGGTCAAGGGGAGCAGTCAGATTTCTATGCAGCCTGCCTGATCCCTCTTGTCTTTCCAGGCATTACTTGCTTAAATATCTTTTCTTCTGGGAGGTTTCTGAGCCACCTCAGCCTGGACCAGGTCCCCACTGTCCTCTCACTGGTACCTGTTTGTATCCTTTACACCCTTCGTTTATGTGTTTGAGACAGGGTACTTCTATAGCCCCAGATGGCCTGGAACTCACTATGTAGTCCAGGCTGGTCTCGATCTCACAAGATCCACCTGCCTCTGCCTCCCAAGTGCTGGGATTAAAGGTGTGTGCCATCACACCCAGCCATAACTTTTTATTCTATTTTTTTTCCTAGTGGAAAAACTTTATTGATACAGTTACATATATACATACACACACACACACACACACACACACACGAATTTTAAGACAATGAAATTGCAGCATACAGGCTAATATTCTTCACCCTCATCATCTCCTTCAGCACTATCTGCACCAACCTCCTCATAATCCTTCTCTAGGGCAGCCATGTCCTCTTGGACCTCAGAGAACTCCCCTTCCTCCATGCCCTCACCCACATACCAGTGCGCAAAGGCACGTTTGGCATACATAAGGTCAAACTTGTGGTCTAGACCAGCCCAGGCCTTGGCAATGGCTGTGGTGTTGCTCAGTATGCACAGTATGTACCTTAGCCAGGTCTCCATCAGGCACCACATCTCACCACAGTGAGAGGCTGGTAATTGATGCCAATCTTGAAGTCAGTGGGGCACCAGTCCACAAACTGGATGGTATACTTGGTCTTGATGGTGGCAATGGCAGCATTGACATTTTTGGGAACCACATCACCACAGTACAACAGGCAGTAAGCCATGAAGGTCACATTTCACCATCTGGTTGTTTTTTTTTGTTTGTTTGTTCTTTCAGTCTTTTTGAGACAGGGTCTCTCTGTACCCCCAGCTAGCCTGAACTCACTGTGTAGACTAGGCTGGCCATGAACTCACAGAGATCTGCCTGTCTCTGCCTTCCAAGTGTTAGGACTAAAGGTGTGTGCCACCATGCCTGGCCACCATCTGGTGCATTTGCTGACTTTTGTTTGTGTGTATATGTGAGTTTGTACCCCAGTGCGTACGTGGAGATCAGAAGACAGCTTTGTTGGAGTCTGTACTCTCCTTCCACTATGTGGGTCCCAGAGACTGAACTCAGGTCATTAGGCTTGGCATGGCAAGTGCTTTATCCACTAAGCCATCTCACTTGCCCCTTCATAACATTTTATACTGATTAATATGTGCATTTCTGGACATTTATTTGCTCAGCTCCTCCATCTGCCAACTGTAAGCTTTATGAGGGCAGAGATGTGTTGCTTTTATTCCTCTGTGACATGTAACATTGTAAGGGCTCAGCACATTTGTTGACTAGTTTAATAATTAAACCAAGGGAAGGGGCTGGAGAAATGGCTCAGGGGTTAAGAACACTGGCTGTTCTTGCACAGGCTAATAATCATTCGTAACTACAGTTCCAGGGGATCAGATGCCCTCTTCTGGTCTCCGTGGGCATTGCATGCACAAGGTGTATTTACATACATACAGTCAAACACACACATAAAACTAAAAAATAAATAAATAAAAAACTTAAGGAGAAACAAGGGTAGAATGTGAAGAATGTGCAGGTCAATGAAAAGTACTTTAAATTTTGGTTCTGCCCTTCTAGCTTTGTGATTCTGGTAAGTCATCTCTATTTTCTGACTGAGCCTTAGATTTCTGCGGCATGTGGATAATGGTGCTGCTGTCTTAGACGGTAGTTGTAAGAATTAAATGAGACTGTGTGTGAAAAGCAATACAATGGCTCCACATAAGGTGGCTGCTGCTACTATTACTGTTATTTCTGATATCTGCTTTGGGGATTCTGGGGAATTTCATGAAGGGTGATGTTATTAGGTACCCAGAACTGGATACATTCCCTGTATGGTCTCTGGACCATGTGGCCTCATGATGTGTCCTGGTGCTGTCTTACAGAATATAAAGGAGGGGAGTGAGAAGCCTCATGGAGCACGGACTGCAGACAAGGCTGGATGGATCAAGAAGAGCAGTGGGGGCCTACTGGGTTTCTGGAAAGACCGCTACCTGCTCCTTTGCCAAGCCCAATTGCTGGTTTATGAGAATGAGGTAGGACTTGCTTGGCCCTGAAAGCAGGTACAAAGTGGGGCAGCCAGGCCAGCAGGAGCACCCTGAGACTGGGGCTGAAAGACCTGGTCTGCTTTTGAGGTGCTATGACACTCTGGACCAGTGTCTAATCTCCCTGGGGTCTTTCTGTGTAATATGGGGATAATGATACTTTTAGGGGGAATTTAGGGTTCCTGGGTGAAGGTTCTGTGAACCATATGTGCATCTAGTATACAAGTCTCAACTATCTACCTGTATGCTACAACTTCCTGTTTTTGACCAAGGTTCCATAGAAGAAATATTCTAGAAAACTGAAGCCTGTTTCAGTCAGCATTGGTACTAAAAATAATAATTAGCTCTCCACTTTGTATTCTTTTTTGTTTTTTTTTTTTTTGAGACAGAGCTTCATGTAGCCCAGGGAGACCTTGTACTTAATATGTAGCTTGGGTACCCTTGAACTCTTGGTCCTCCTAACTCCACCTCCAAAGTGCTGGAATTATAAGCACCATGCCAGGTTTTTATTTTTTCGGTCTTTTCTCCCTATAGCGCCAGCTGTCCTGGAACTTACTATGTAGACCAGGCTGGCCTTGAACTCACAGAGATCTACCTGCCTCTGCCTCCTAAGTGCTGGGATTAAAGGCATGAGCTACCACGCCTGGCCCCCATGCCAGGTTTTATGTGATGCTGGGCTGCTGGGAATTGAACCCAGAGTTTTGTGAATGCTAGGCAAGCACTCTACATTTTTGAGATTTTTATCTGTCTCTATTTCTGTCTCTCTTTTTTTGAGACAGGGTCTCCCTGTAGGCCCCCCAGCTGGCCTAGAACTGGCTATGTAGACCAGGATGGCCTCAACCCCATAGAGATACACCTGCCTCTGCCTCCCCAGTGCTGGGATTAAAAGTGTGTGCCATCAAGCCTCCTGTCTCTCTGACTTTAGACAAGGTCTCATTCTATAGCTCAGGCTAGCCTGGAATCACTATGTAGCCCAGGCGGCCTTAAACTTGGCAGTCCTACTGCTTCAACTTCTCTAGTGCTGGGATTACAATGTGAGCCACCATGCCTGGGTTGAGACAGTCTGTGTAGCCCAGGCTGGTCTTGAACTCTTCTGCTTAGCCTTCCTAAGTGCTAGAATTACAAGCATTCACATGGCTTGTGTCAAGTTCTTAGTTACCTCTCTAATAATATTCCCAATGGTCCCGTGGCTGTGACCTCCACGTTACATTTTTAAAAATATTTTATTTACTTATTTTATCTGTATAAGTATATTGCCTGCATGTGCATAAGTGCACCCATGTCGTGCTGTGCCCATGGAGGTCAGAAGTTACAGACAGTTGTTATCTGCCATGTGGGTACTGGGAATAGAACCCAGGTCCTCTTCAAGAGCAACCAATGCTCTTAACCATGAGCCATCTCTCCAGCTCCCACCATGTTGTATTTTAAAGAAAGAATTACCAGGGTTGAGTGAGGGAAATGATAGGTAATTGAGTATCTCACAGTGAGTGGAGGAGTCAGGCATAAAACTGAATGCTGTGCTCTTTCCATCGAGAGACACTAACAAGTAAACTCCAAAATTTATTTTTATTTTATTTTATTGCTTTTATTTTTGTATATGAGCGTATTGCCTCCATGTATGTAAGTGGACCCATGTCATGCAACGTCCACAGAGGTCAGCAGACGGTGTCAGATCCCCTGGAACTGTAGCCACCACGTGGGTGCTGGGAATTGAACCCTGGTCCTCTGCAAGAGCAGTCAGTGCTTTTATCCTAAGCCATCTCTCCAGCCCCCCAAATTTATTTTTGATTGAAATTCTCTACAATAATCTTTGCATTCTTCAGTAGAAGGTGCTGTTGGCCTGAGGCCTCTTCCAGTCAGCATTGATACTAAAATCTTACCTGGGGATCAGAGTAATTTATCAGACTTTTTTTTTTTGAAACAGTGTCTCCCTGTAGCCCTGGCTAGCTTTGAACTTGCCAGGTAGACAAGGCTGGCTTCAAATTCATAGAGATCTGCCTGCTTCTTCTCTCAACTGCTAGGCTTAAAGGCCTGTGCCGCCATACCTTTTTACATGAGTTCCAAGGATCTGAGTTCAGGTTGTCAGATTTGCACAAATGCATGGAGCCCTCTGCCAGCCCTGCTAGCACCTGACTGTCTTTGCACCTCTAGCAGTCCTCCTTCCTTCCCACTTAAACTCTTTTTGCCCTCCTAGCTTCAGTGGGTTTATGATTTGGATAACCAAGAGTGCTAAAATTGCCAGGCTTCCCCTGTAACCCCAGCACTCAGAAGGCTAAGATGGGAAGATTGCCCTAAGTTTGAGGCTGGCCCCAGCTACAGGATAAGACCATTTTTGTTTTTGTTTTTTTTTTTAAAAAAGCTAAAATTGGGGCTGGAAAGATGGCTCAGCGGTTAAGAACACTGACTATTCTTGCAGAAGACCCAGGTTCGAATCCCAGCACCCACATGGCAGCTAACAACGGTCCGTAACTCCAGTTCCAGGGGATCCAACAGCCTCTTCTGTCCTCCGAGGGCATTGCACGACATGGGTGCACTTACCTACATGCAGGCAATACACGCATACACATAAAATTAAAAAAAAAAAAGCTAAAATTGTGAGTTAAGTTAGTAATGCTGTTGGATGAAGGCTTGGAGGAAAGGTGGAAAGGTCTCTCTCTCTCTCTCTCTCTTTTTTTTGGTCTTTTTGAGACAGGGTCTCCCTGCAGCCCTAGCTGTCCTGGAACTCACTATGTAGACCAGGCTGGCCTTGACCTTGCAGAGATCCACCTGCCTCTGCCTCCCAAGTGCTGGGATTAAAAGCATGTGCCACCACACCCGGCTGTCTCTCTCTTTTTTGGAACAGGGTCTCCCTGTAGCCCCAGCTGGCTTGGAACTCACTCTGTAGACCCTGCTGGCCTTGAACTCACAGAGATCCGCTTGACTCTGCCTCTCAAGTGCTGGGATTAAAGGTGTGCACCACCATGCCCATGCTTGTAGGAAAGGTCTCTTTTCGGTGCTGGGGTTGTGCTGGCTACCAGAGGACCCATCCACTGAGAATGGGGTAATATGGTATTCCTTTGGCAATTGGAATCCATATATGTGGAAGAAGAAGCTGGCCTCTTGTCTATCAAACTCTCAGCCTCCTTCAGGGTAGCTTTCAAATTACCAAGTACCCAAGCCATGGAAGACCTAGCAACCTGCATCTAAGGATTTCAGGGAGCTACCTTTGAGAAGCACCTCCTTGGTCCTGCCTGAGACCCCACCTCCCGCAGTCAGGATGTCAGAGAAGTTGTGGGAGAATGGCAAGGAATGAATTTGTGCAGACAGTCCCCCAGATGTTCTGTACACACCAAATTAGGATATGCCACAGCTGGAAAAGTGGCAGCCTAAGGATATTTTTATAAATAAAGTGGGCTGTCACAGTTTCCTCCAGTGCCAGCTGCTGCAGAATTGAATGATAGATAGGCTCTCAGCTGTCAGCCCATCAGTCGCTGCCTTTCTTGTCCTGGACTGCCTCTCCATATCTGGCCACAGCTTTAACCAGGAAGAGTTTTACATTCTCCAAACATGAAAAATCCAAATCACACTTTAAAAAAGAAAATTACTAATACAAACTTAAATGTAATCTCAAGAATTTAGCACTCAGGGATGGGAGCTTGGCCCAGGAGTAGGAATTGAGAAATGCTTATTAGCTAAATTCCTCTTTCTGATGTAAGGAACTAGGCGAGTGTAGATGGCTCTTGGCTGTTTCTTTGCTGTCAGAGAGGCTGATGTTCCATAGATGCTGCCCCCACCCAGTGCCTGCTGTTATATCCTTTTCTCTGAACTGCAGAAGGCCCAGGATGATTCAGCATTTCTGGCGTTGAGGAGTCCCAAACCACATAGCTCTGGGGAACTGGGTGGTGAAGATAGACTGACTTTTTGTTCTATGAGGAAGGCACATTTGGACCAGTAGTTGTCCAGTTGGGGAGGCCTGTGGACATAAGGCAGGTGTGGCTAGAGTTTCTCCTCTGAATGCTCAGAAAGCCTTTGGAGGTCTGGCTCTAGGCTGGGTACCGTGCTAACAAACTGGTCCTTTGTATGTCCCTCCTTTTTTTTTTTAATATTTATTATTTTTATTTTGTGTATGAGTGTATTGCTTGCTTTTGTATAATTGCACCCACATCATAGGGTAGTGGCTAGAGTTTCTCCTCTGAATGCTCAGAAAGCCTTTGGAGGTCTGGCTCTAGGCTGGGTACCGTGCTAACAAACTGGTCCTTTGTATGTCCCTCCTTTTTTTTTTAATATTTATTATTTTTATTTTGTGTATGAGTGTATTGCTTGCATGTGTATAAGTGCACCCACATCAGAAGGTAGCATCAGGTCCCCTGGAACTGGAGCTACAGATGGTTGTTAACCACCATGTAGGTGCTGGGAATCGAACTCTGTTCCTCTACAAGAGCAATCAGTGCTCTTAACTGCTGAGCCATCTCTCTAGCCCTGTATGTCCCTCTTTTTGAAAAAAACGACAGGGTTTCATGGCTGGAGAGATGGCTCAGGGGTTAAGACCACTGGCTGCTCTTGCAGAGGACCTGGGTTTAGTTCCCAGAGCCCACATGACAGCTAACAATATCCCTAACTCCAGTTCCAAGGGCTCTGACACCCTCTTCTGACCTTTGTGGGCACTGCACAACACAGGTACACTCAGCAGTCTCAGCTTTGACCACTTATGAGTCTCTGCATTAACTGTTGCTATAGCAAATAGAAAATTCTCTGACCAAGGCTGAGAGTAACACTAATATATGTGTATAAACACATACTTGGAAGGCATGACAACATGTCCTTTTCACAAAATAATAGTAGTAGTTTCCCCACTAGGGCCTGTGACTTCCCCAACCATGAGCTTTGGACCAGGTTTACTATACCAGATATGAATTCTCTCCCATGGAGCAGGCTGCCAATCCAATCAGAAAGCGGTTGGTCATAGCCATAACAGTCATGACACTACTGCAGCCAATGGACACATCTTGCCTAGCAAGTTGGTTTGTAGCTCAAAGGGTTCACAGCCAAATAAAGTCACGGTTGATGACTTTTCCCATAGTCTGTACGACACCTTCCATCACTATGAAAGCTAGCCAGCAAGGAAGAAGTTTCCAGTTCAGTTCCACAATTTCTCTGTCCTGAAACCAAAGTGCATGATGTCTTCAGCAGGTTTGGGGTTTCTTAAAAGCCTCTAGGCTGTGGTTGAGTACCACTGATCTAAAGCAGTTATATATACATCATGATCACGTGGCATGCAAGTTCAAATTAAAATGGCCAGGTCTAGCCCCCCCCCCAATTTATGATTGGGTACAGAAGGAACTCAAGAAGTTGTATTTCAGAGCTAGAGAGATGGCTCAGCAGTTAAGAGGGCTGACTGCTCTTGCAGAGGACCCGGGTTCGATTTCCAGCACCCACACGGCAGTTATGAACTGTCCTTAATTCCAGTTCCAGGGGAATCTCAAGCCCTCTTCTGACCTCTGTGGCATTGTGTGACACGGGTGCACTCATATACATGCAGGCAATACACTCATACACATAAAATAATAAAAATAATAAAATATTTTTTAAAAAGTTGTATTTCTAAAGCAAGTTCTCAGGTGGTGCTAATGTTGCTGGCAAGTGCTTTGGTAGATGTTTGTATGCCCCCTGCAGTAAGACATAGGGGACCTTGGAGGCATGAGAGCACCAAGTCCCACACTGGGAGGATCACTGACACAGAGCAATCAATTAAGAAGATGCTGATTAGTTGGGCATGATGATGCATACCCTAGAGGCCAAATCAGGACCCTTGGCGGCTTCATTCTCTCCATCCATCAATCGAGGCAGATCCTGAGGCTCTAGGCTTGCTGGGGTCTTTTGAGGCTCAGGGGAATCAGGGATGCAAAAGTCCTCACTAGCCATCAAATTTCTTGCTTTGGACATCAGCAAGAGTGTCTTACTTGCTGACCAGTCTTCAGACAGTGTGCATGTACGCACACATGTGCACATGCAGAGGACCTGCTTCTGCTTCCCAGGAAGTTGTACCAACTTCAGAAGAGGAACAATTGACCACTATTAAGGGAGGAACTCATTCCAGGCAGCTTGCCTGTGAGGTGCTCCATGGGCTAAAAACCCTCTAGCGTAAGGGCTGATGTGTAGGAAGATGAGAAGGCAGCCTGGTCGGTGGAAGAGCTTGGACACTGTTTGGCCACTGGCCACCTAAGTGATGAGGCTACAAAGTGCAGGGTAAGGAGGGGTGCCCTGAAACAAGCCCTTCCCTCTCTGTTGTGCCTTCAACCTGGGGGAGGCGCTCCTCTCCGAGTCAGCACAGGAAAATGACAAGTGGGGTGAGGGCTGCTTAAGATTGATGTGCTGAAGGCATGGGTTGAGAAACCAAGTGTGCCTTGTTCATGCTCCTCATAGAAAGCTCCCCTACCCCATTTCATGGCATCCTGTATCCCTCTTCCAAAAATCACTATGTAGCTACTGGGCCTGCACAGAACCGCCCCCCCCCCATCCTTTTCTCAGCCTCTCTAGCTTCCCCTGTTTCTGCCTCTGGCCTTAGGCCCACTGGGTACAACCTTTAGGCACATTTCCACCCCTAAGCTATGTACCTCATTTCTTACAGGATGGTGAGCTTTGTGGACACCCTCCATCCAGCACATTCTGGCACTGTCTTCTTGCCAGGATCTGAATATTGCATCTTGGTGATACGATGTTCTCTGTGGGTAGGATCAGGTCCTGGAATGTGGCTTTGAGTTGAAGATCTTGCTATATGGCCGGCTCTCACTGGCCCATGTCTCCTTATCTCTCTTTCTCCCCAGGACGAGCAGAAGTGTGTGGAGACTGTGGAACTGGGCAGCTATGAGAAGTGCCAGGACCTTCGTGCTGTCCTCAAGCGGAAGCACCGCTTTATCCTGCTGCGATCTCCAGGGAACAAGGTAGGGAGATCCTGGAGGCTGCCTCCCTCCTCCAGTCTAGCAGCTGCCTGGGAAGATCACCATGAGGCAGAAGGAAGGCTAGGCCCCTCCAAGCAGTCTGCAGGGTCCTTATGAGGTAGGCTGAGCTTTAAATCTGGCAACAGCCCCAGGTTAGATCTTGTGCTCGCTTTGTCTTGGAGGCTCCCAAGTCTTGGTTGATGGGAGTTTCGGGCTTTGTTGAGAGCTCTACTTCCCTCCCTTTCCAAGACCTAAGACTGTAGCTAGGGGGCTGGAGAAATAGCTCAGTGGTTAAGAACACTGACTGTTCTTGCAGAAGACCCAGGTTCAAATCCCAGCACCCACATGGCAGCTAACAACTGTCCGTAACTCCAGTTCCAGGGAATCCGACAGTCTCTTCTGTCCTCTGTGGGCATTGCACAACACAGGTGCACTTTCCTACATGCAGGCAATACATGCATACAATAAAAATAATAAAATATTAAAAAAAAATAAAAAAGACCTTAGGAGGAGCTACTGGAAGGTGGACCCTTGACTTTCTTTCTCCTGCATTCTGGACGCAGGAAGCCCAGGCTGAGGCAGAACAGCTATGGACAAGGTCTTTGTCCCACTAGGCCTTCAGTAGTCATAAGAGTCTAGGGCAGAGGCAAGAATATGGTTCCCCCCACCCCCAGGCCCCTTTTGGGCCAGGGCTAGGAGGGCCATAGCCCTAATTTTTCTCCCCTTGTGATTTCCTTTCTTTCCTGAGAGACTCTTACACTCAGAGCTGCTCTGAGTACAGATGAAGTTTGCTGTCTGCCACTTTTCCCTGTCAGAAGTCTGCTAGGTGTTGACACATGGTGTAGTTTCACAGATGTCAGGAGGGAGATGAGATGCAAGGCTGGCCAAGGTGCACAGTACCTCTCATCAGCTCCCACTGCACCTCACCTAACCTTTCCACATCATGAAGAGCCTGTCAAAGTATGACAGAGTCATAGAGGGTAGAGGAGCAGAACAGGTCTGTTGGAGCCATTCTCTTTCTCTCTCAGCTTTGGAAGTCAGGAGCCCAGTCCTCTGTGGTCTCTGTGGTCCTGAACCCTGGAGGAGACTGTTGTCCTACTCTGCTGGGGGTAGGACAAAGAAGCAGTCAAGACATTGATGTGGGGACTGTGAAGCTCAGATGCTGGGGAGTTGGAGGATGTACCCAAGACAGGTGCAGGTTTCTAGTATCCTGGGGGTTATGGGACTGGGCCTAGATTCATTTGATATCTCTGACTTAGGGTACTTTGAGGAAGTTTGGGTCTTTCAGGCCCTGGAGCCTTTACTCTGCTGCCTTTCTGAGCTGGTGTTATATATGTGTCTATGTTTGAGAAGTACAAAGCACATTGAATCTGAAGGTCAACACCTGTGTGCCTAGGTACACTCCTCCTTATGTGCAGGTGTCACCTGGCCATGGTTCTGTCAGGGTCATTGTGTATGTGTCTTATGTGGATGTGAGATGAGAGAGAGCCTTGCCTCTCTGTCCTCTGCCTATGCCACCTACTTTCCCAGCTTTGAGAATCAGCTAGTGGTGGGTTGCTCAGCTCGGGTGGGACATCATCCTCAGAGAGGTCTGTTTATACAGCTGCCTTCTCAGCTTCTGTGGTAACACCCTTCCTCCCACCCTTCGAAGCCTGCCAAGAGTTGAGATTGGTTCTGGATAACTCTGGGAACAGGACAGTTAAGGAGATCATCTGTGGGGCCAATGGTACTGGCCGTAGGGAAGCAAGGGCCCTTGACCCTCTAGCTCACGCAGGGGGGGGGTGTCTCCCCAGAGGTCAGGACTAACCCAGAGCACTTCATTCTGCACATCCTCTGCCTGCCTGCCTGCCTTTCCCATCTCCCTGGGTGTTCCCCATCCTCCTTGTGGCCTCCAGCCGGCCAGGAGGTCATGTGACCCTGGCTGTCTGGTCCTGAGGCCGCCTTTTTTCCTCTCTAATCAAATAAACAAAGACTCCAGTGTCTTGCATGCCCCACTCCCCCTGCTGTTCCATCCCCACGCCCCTGTCCATGAGGTCACAGGCAGTGGCTGCCAGGAAGCAGGGTGGCCACTGCTGGGCCTTGCTGCCCTGCTGGTCTTGGCCAGCTTGGCCCTTTCCTCTTTCCTGCCTCTTCTCTTCCCCTCCCCCCCTTTCCTCTACCATTCTGCCCTTCCCCCTTTGCCAGGCCTTGTGGGGCTTTTCTGTAGTCGTTCTTATTAGCATCTATGTTCCTGCTAGAGCCTGTGTTCCTAAGCTTCTTCAAAGGCTTGTAGCAGGGAACTGTGTAGCCTGTGGCCCTTCAGGACACAGCTTCTTGTTGCTCATGCTAATCTTCCCTATTTCAGTCATCCTTGTGGAATGCCTAGCTCATTGAGTCAGGATTGCAGAGTACTTTAGGGCAGAACTGGGTCCCTGTAACCTTGTGTTCCCTCACCCCTGAGAGCTCTTCGGCCAGCATAATATGTCTTCCCTGAGGCCCTATCCCTCCCAGGTTGCAAGGACCTTCCCTATAGTCTGACTCTAGTGGGCTGGGCCAGTGGGGAAGTGATGCAGTGTGAGTTGAGTCCAGTAGTTCTGTCCTTACCCCTTTGAGGCCCAGAGTCATTCAGAGAACAAGACTCAGCATCTGAGTTTTCCTTGCCTCTTCTACTGACTTCCCATTGTGTATGTCTCAACTCTGTGATGCCAAATCCTGTACGAACCAGGCAGGGCCCCATGGACTCAGTTTCTCAACAGGAGCAGCATCAGGGGTCAGAGGGACTACCCTTAGATTCCCTAGCCCAGGATTGGGTGACTTTTGTAGCTCCCCACTTCAGATATAGTGCCGTCCCTCCCTCAGCCCCTGCAGCCCTGATGGCTGGGCGGAGAGGCAGTTGCCAAGGTGCCCTGGGGTTTCTGACTTAACTGCAGGTCTGCTGCCAGGATTGAATTTACCCTGGTCATGCAAATGAGCATTTGGCTGGGCCTGGCATGGGGTGGTGGTGGGGGGGACAACCAGGGCCCTGTATGAGGAGGAGGTGGTGCTGCCAGGAGGAAGTTATATAATGAGGATGCTGAGGGGACCAGGCCAAGTACACCACACTGTGGTGTTACATAACTGGAGAGTGGCTGAAGGCGCTATCTAACACCAGGGTGGGGGATGGGCAGGCAGCCACACCAAGAGAGAACTAGGGCATCTTGAGGTCAGAGAGTAGGCAGCAGTCCAGAAACAGGGTAAGGGAAGGAATGTAAGGCCAGTTCATTCACATATTGGCTCATTCACTCTATTTATTGAGCACCTACTATGTGCTAGGGCCTTGGCTTCAATAGTGTTTAATTCCCTTAGCATTGTTTAGTAGTTAGCTGTGTTATCAAATTTTACAAATCAGAAAACTGGGACTGTTTGTCTAGACATAAAGGGCAATGTGACATTAATTCCTACTCTGAACATTTACTCTGTTTCAGCTCCAGATTCAGTTTTAAAAGGTTTTTATTTTGTTTTGTTTTGTTTTGGAGACAGGATCTCATATATCTAAGGTTGGCCTTGAAATTCTAATTCTCCTGCCCCCACCTTCCCAGGGCTGGAATCACAGGCATATACCACCACACCTGGTTTATGTGATGCTGGGGATAAAAACCAGGGTTTGGTGCATGGTGGCAAGCACTCTACTACGAACTGACCTATATCCCCAGCCCTGGATATATCTTTTTAAAACTATTTAGGGGCTGGGGAGATGGCTCACTGGGTAAGGTGCTTGCTGTATAAGCATGAAGCCTGGAATTTGGATCTCCCATACCCACATAAAAGCCAAGCGGGTACAGCATTTCACCTATCATCTCAGCCCATGGGAGGTGGGGACACGAAGTCTATGATGCAAGCTGGCTAGGCACACTAGCTGGAATGACAAGCTCTGAGTTCAGCAAGTGACCCTGCCTCAGTATGTAAGATGGAGATAGATCAAGGAAGATATCCAATGTCAATATCAGACCTCCACATGCACACACACACATGTACATACATGTGCCAACACACATATGAACATGCACATCCATATATATGCACACATATGAAAAAGAAACTATGATCAAGGGGGCTGAAGAGATGGCTCAGTGATTAAGAGCACTTGCTATTCTTTCAAAGGACCCAAGTTTGGTTCCTAGCATTCATGCCAAATAGCTCATAACCACCTGTAACTCTAGCTCCAGGGGATCTGACACCTTCTTCTGGCCTCCTCAAGCACCTGCGCTCATGCACATATTCATAGGCAGACACACACACACATACAATTTAAAGAATAGGGGCCTGGAGAGATGGCTCAGTAGTTAAGAACACTGAATGTTCTTGCAGAAGACCCAGGTTTGAATCTCAACACCCACATGGCAGCTCACAACTGTCTGTAACTCCAGTTCCAGGGGATCCGACACCCTCTTCTGTCCTCCACAGGCATTGCACAACAAGGGTACACTTACCTACATTACATGCAGGCAATACACAAATACACATAAAAATAAAATATTTTTTAAAAAGAACAAAATAAGCTGGGCCTGGTGGTGTATGCCTTTAGTCTGAGCACTGGAGAGACAGAGGTAGGTGGATGAGTTCAAGGCCAGCCTGGTCTACATAGTGAGTTCCAGGCTAGCCAGGGCTACATAGTGAGAGCCTCTCAAATAAATAAATAAATAAATAAATAAATAAGGGACTGGAGAGACAGCTCAGTGGTTAAGAGTACTGGCTGCTCTTGCAGAGGGCCCAGGTTCGAGTCCCAGCACCTACATGGCAGCTAATAACCATAACTCTAGTTCCAGGGGATTCTTGCCCTCTTCTAACCTCCACTGGCATTGCATGACAGGGGTGCACTTAAACACATGCAAGCAATACATTCATACACACAAAATAAAAATACTAAAGAAAGGCTGGGTGTGGTAGTGCATGCCTTTAATCTCAGCACTTGGGAAGCAGAAGCAGGTGGATCTCTTTGAGATCGAGGCCAGCCTGGTCTACATACTGAGTTCCAGGACAGCTAGGGGTGCAGGGAGACCTTGTCTCAAAAACACAAAATAAATAAATAAATCTTTTAAAAATAAAAGCTAAATAAAGGCTGGGCATGGTAGTGCATATCTTTAATCTTAGCCCTCCCGGGGCAGAGGCAGGTGGATCTCTGTGAGTTCAAGGCCAGCCTGGTCTACATAGTGAGTTCCAGGCCAGCTGGAGCTACAGGAGACCCTGTCTCAAAATGACCGAAAAAAAAAACAGTTATCAAACAGACACAAGAGATGGCTCAGCGGTTAAGAGCGCTGACTGCTCTTGCAGAGGAGACCCAGGTTCAATTCCCAGCACCCACATGGCTACGAACCGTCCTTAACTCCAGTTCAGGGAAATCCGAAGCCCTCTTCTGACCTCCGTGGCATTGCACGACACGGGGTGCACTCACATACATATAGGCAATACACTCATACATAAAATAAAAATAAAATATTTTTTAAAAAATGTGTCATCTTAAGCATTTTAAGCAAACAGTTCAGAGGCATTAAATGAATTCATAATGTATGCAGCTATCACCACTGTCCTTCAGAACTTTTCATCTTATAAAGTTGAAATTGTATCCATTAAACACCAGCTCCCATTCTCTCTTCTCCCAGTCCAGGCAGTCACCATTCTACTTTCTGTCTTTGATTTTGACTATTCCAGGTACCTTGAAGGTGGACACATTCAGTCTTTGTCTTTTTTTTTTTAAGATTTACTTGTTTTGATCTGTATGAGTGTTTGCGTGCACGTATATATGTGTACCACACGCATGCCTTGTGACCAAAGAGATCAGAAGAGGGTGTTGGATCCCTCTTCTGAGACAGTTGTGAGCTACTCTGTAGGTGCCAGGAACTAAAAACCCTGGTCCTCTGCTAGGCCAGCAAGTGCTCGACTGCTGAGTCTAGTCTTTGTCTTTGTGTCTGGCTTATTCCATGTAGCTTTATTTTATTTATTTATTTAATCCTCAGACAGAGTCTAATGAAGCAGGATGGGATCCAAGATCTTTCCACAGGGCAAGGTTGATTTTTCCATCTAATCCTCTGAAAGCTGTAGGCTGGAGAGGGGCCCCCTTTCCTGTAGGATCTAACACCACCCCCTCACCAATACCCCCCCCACACCAATGCCCCCTGCCTTCTCATCCTTAGAACTATTGTGGGTCATTTTGGTTTCACTTTGGAATCTGATTTGGAATGTTTCCTAAAGACCCCAAATGTGAATCCTAAATATATCTGCCATCCACCCTACCTGTCTCTCTCACAGGTCAGTGACATCAAATTCCAGGCCCCCAGTGGGGAAGAGAAGGAATCCTGGATCAAAGCCCTCAATGAAGGAATCAACCGAGGCAAAAATAAAGCTTTTGATGAGGTATGAGGGTGTGGTCCTGTGGATGGTTCTTGGTTCTCCAGGTCACCATGTGTGGATTAGGAAAGGATTCTGCCCACATCACCCCAGACTATCAGTTAAGTCACTACTACAAGCACTTGGTCATATTTCATTTAATCCCTCAAAAGACCTTTAAAATGGGTGATGCTATCCCATTTTTATGGATGAAACTGAGACATGAGGAAATTAAGTAAATTATTTTCTTTTTAAAAACAATACTATTATTCTTCGAGATTTTTTTTTTTTTTTTTTTGAGACAGGGGGTCCCTATAGCCCCAGCTGTCCTGGAACTCACTATGTCGACCAGACTGGCCTTGAACTCACAGAGATCCACCTGCCTCTGCCTCCCAAGTGCTGGGATTAAAGGCATATGCCACCACACCTGGCTTAATTCTTTGAGAATTTCATTCAATGTATTTTGATCATACTCCCAACTCTTCCTATTTTTATTTATTTTGAGACAGAATGTCATATTATGCAGTCTGGCCTTGAAATCACTATATAGCCAAGGATGACCTTAAACTTCTGATTCTCCCGCCTCCCAAATGCTAGGATCACAGGCCTATGCCACCACACTTGGTTTTGTAAGGTACTGGGAATTGAGCCAGGACTTTACACACGCTAGACAAACACTCTATCTACACCCCCAGCCCTTCAGCCCTTGAGTAATTTGTTTTAAATTAAAAAGCATGTGAGTCTGGGCATGGTGATGCATGCCTTTAATCCCAGCACTCAGGAGGCAAAGGCAGGCTGATCTCTGAGTTCAAGGCCAGCCTGGTATACATAGCGAGTTCCAGGTCAGCTGGGGCTACAGGGAGACCCTGTTTCAAAAAGACCAAAAAAAAAAAGCAAGTGAGGGAGCATAACTGTGATAGAGCATTTGTATAGGTCCTGGGTATAATCTCTAGCACTACATGTATGGTAGAGTAGACTAATTAACTGGCTTTAGCCATTCATCCATGCCTCAGTTCTAGCGCATAGCTTCAGTTGGCAAACAGCAGCAGCTCTAAGCCAGAAAGGCTTGGGAGTGAGCTGAGAGCTCAAGCTTCTTCTTCAGTTTGCCCCATTAGGTCCAGGCCAGGTTGGTTCTGTCTGTGAAGAAGCTCTAGTTCTGAGGTCCCTGTGCTATGACAGCAGTGGTCACAAAAGTCAGGTTTGGAGTGACTGGGCAGGATACCACCTGGGGCCAGGATCTCCTAGGGGAGATCTGTCTTTGATATCATGGGCCCTTTGCTATTTGGGGCTAAAATATACTTGCAAACAACCTTGGATGGCAGAAGAGGAGACTTGAGGGGTGTTCTAGTTTGCCTCTCCATTGCTGTGACTGCTATCAACTTGGGGAGGAAAGGGTTTATTTAGCTTACATATCCCAGGTCACACAATTCATCCAGGAGCCCAAGGTAGAATCTCAGGGAAGGAACCTAGAGGCTGGAGCACAGGCCATGGAGGAACACTGCTTACTGGCTTGCTCCCCTTGCCCTTGCTCAGCCTGCTTTCTTATGTAACACAAGCCCACCTGCCCAGGGGTGGCACCACCCACAGTGGGCTGGGCCCTCCCACATCACTCATCAAGAAGATGCCCCTCAGACATGGCTACAGGCCAGTCCAATAGAGGAAATTCCCCAGTTGAGGCTCCCTCAACCCGGGTGTTGACATTAAAGCTATCCAGTATAAGGGGAATCCTCCTTCCCAAGCAAGTCTCCTGACTCCCAACTGTGGGTCCTGTGTTCTCTCATGTCACTGTGTCATCTTTAGCCTTTCACTACCTGAGAAAAACATTCCTGTTTGAGGGAAAGGATTTTGGGCCACATTGTGGGTATTAAGGAGGCCACAGGGGCCATGGTCTAACAGGTCAGTTGAGAGTCTTGGCAAAGCAGAGTCTATCTGTTCCTCAGTGGAGTGAGAGCCCTGCCCCTCATAGGAACATGCAGCTCTGGGGTTCAGAGTTCAGATTTGGGAAGATTTTCCTATGTGATCTGACTCCCTTTTCTGACTCTCAGAGAGGCAATGCCACTTTCCACAAGCCTCCACAGCCAGGCCCAATTACAGAGGTTCTGCTCTTGGACTGGGCTTGGGAGAGTGGCAGAGGCCAGGATAGGCCTTTAATGCAAGCAAGTGCCAGAGGATAGTGGTCTGGCACCCCACCTCCTACCCCAACTGAGCTCCAAAGACAACTCTTGCCTGCTTAGATATTTGTCCTAGACTGAAGACAAATGAGAGCCCATGTTTGGGCAGGGAGACTGAGGCAGAGGATAGTTGCTAAGAATGAGGGCTTTAGACTCGGCAGAGGAACCACCTGTGACAGTGTAGGCACAGAGAGGAGGTCCACAATATGGAGATATCTCAGAAGGAGCAGTAATCAGGGGCTGGCCCTGCTGAGCAAGGATGTGGGGGTACAGACCCTGTGAGTCAGGGCAGTAGCTGTTTCCCACTCTTCCCCAGACCTGGCAGGGACTCATCTGCTTCTTTCTCCTTCCCAGGTAAAGGTAGACAAGACCTATGCCCTGGAACATGTAACACGGGACCGGGTGCGAGGGGGCCAGCGGCGCCGGCCACCAACCAGAATCCATTTGAAAGAGGTAAGGCCTTCCCTCAGCTTGGACAGTGGGAAGTCAGCTAAGCCAGGGATCAGGAGGGACTGTGAAGGAGTCCCTGGCATTTAAGCTGACCCTTGAAGGACAGCACAGGCTTCAGTTCACAGACAGGAGTCGGGGTAGTCCATTGGAGGGTATGGTGTGAGCTGAGACACTGGGCAGAACAGAAGGGTGTGCTGAGGGACTCTGGGCTTGGTCATTAGGCTGAGAAGGTAGGAGTGGGGTGGGAAGGAAATTATAGAGTCCTAGAATGCTGGAGTTGGGGACAGGATAGGAGGGAGTGTTCCAGAGGTCAGTTTGAGGCCCTGGATAGGGTAAGGGAAAGGCTGAGGTCCTGTAATGAATCAGGGGGAGAGGGAACTCCAAGTTCTAGGAGGGGTGGAAGAAGAGGTTGATGGGAGACAGTGGGAAGCAAAAGGCTTATGTGTGGAAAGTCAGGAAGATGGCCAGAGGTGTCACATGTTGGAGGAGGCCCTGGACACAGGCAGTATAGAAGAAGATTTGGGTGGAGGAGAGAAGAAAGGAGGAACCTCAGAAAGACTAGTAGAGTTGATGGGGAGAGATTTTAGAGGCAGAAAAATCCTCAGCAAGTGATATTTAGGGACTGGAGTTGGGGGCAGCCAGCAACAGCAGAGGAAGAGGAGAGGGCTTTTTAAGAGGAGCAGGCTGGTGGCCTAGACAGAAGTCTTTAAGAAGCACAAACAGAAGTGGGTAGACTTGATATAACTTGGGGATAGGATTTGGGGAGCATCAGCACAAGACCTGACAGCCACAAGTAGCAAGGGCAGCACTGAGGAGAAAGTAGGTGGTCACATTTGCATGCAGCATATTTTGAGTCAACTTAGGGCTGCCATCAGGTACAGAGCTGCATAAGCCTCCAAAGGGAGGGACCACAGGGCAGGAAGGACACAAGATCATTGGAAGGTCTGTTTTTTATACTAAGCAACCTGTTCTTATCTGTCATCTGGGGGAGAGGAGCCACAAAGAGAAACAGAAAGGAATATCCAGGAGGGAGATCATGGGAGTAGGGTGAGGTCTAGCCTTGGAGAGGAGACTCTGAAATCAAGCCTATTTCAGTAGTGGTGTTGGCTAGACCATATTGTGTATATAAGAGGGAGTGAGAATCCCAGTCAGGACCCAGTATCATCTGAGGGACCTTGGAAGAGGCTTCCTGCTCAACCCTACTCTAGGACCTCTGAGGCTCCCTGGGAAGATCCCCATGCTATCTCTGTGGGTTCCTGGAGTCAGGTGAGGGGCAGGGACTGAAGAAGGACTGGGAGGCAAGACAGAGGCCTCCAGGCAAACAGAAGTGGGTAGACCTGAGGCAACTTGGGGGGAACCTATATTTGACACAATGGACAGTCAGCCAACATAACACCTGGATTCTATCTCAACACTAGGTAGCCAGTGCAGCTTCTGATGGGCTTTTGCGCCTAGACCTTGATGTCCCAGACAGCGGGCCACCTGTGTTTGCCCCTGGCAATGATGTCAGTGAAGCTCAGCCCCGGGAGACACCTCGGGCCCTCATGCCTCCTGTCAAGCCTTCCCCAGCACCAGAGACTACCAGCCTCGATGACAGCATGGAGACTCCTGCAGGAGAGAGAGCCACAGCCCCCATTTCATCAAGCTCAGAGGCCCATCCTGAGAATCAAGAGGATGCAGAGACCCCAGCAGAGGAGGACAATGGCTTTAAGAGGCTCCCTAACACCCCCTTGTCGGAAAAACTGAAGGTGAGCTGGGAGAATTCCACTCCAGAGGAGCCTCCTGTTTCTGAGAGTGCAGAGCCGCCCGAGGTGCCTGGTTCTGAGACTCCAGAGGCTGCCCACTGGGAGAATAAGAAGCCCCCTGCACCCCCACCCAAGATCTTAACAGAGAAGATGAAGGCCTGTATGAGTGGGATGGAGGCTGCTGGTCCAGTCCAGAGTCCTGAGACCTCTGCTCCAGACTCAGCACAGGTCTCTGTGAATGGCATGGATGAAAGTCCTGAGTCTGCCATACTATCCCAGGCTGTGGGCGCCCCAGGAACTGCTCCAGAGGATGCAACAGCGTCCCCAGCACTGCCCATCTGGGACCTGCCACCTCAGTTCCAGCCGCGATCATCTTCCCTTGGGAGTCTACTTGGAGAAGGCCCCCAGCGTAAGGAACGGCTGTATCGGGCCCAGCTGGAGGTGAAAGTGGCCTCAGAACAGACAGAGAAATTATTGAACCAGGTGCTGGGCAATGAACCACCCCCTGTGTGTGCTGAGACATTGCTCAGCCAGGCTGTGGAGCAGCTGAGGCAGGCCACCCAGGTCCTGCAGGAAATGAGGGATTTGGGAGAACTGAACCAGGAACCCCCTGGGCTAATGGAAAAACGGAAGGAGCTGGTGACCCTCTACCGTAGAAGTGCACCCTAGGCCTGCCAAGCCTGAGGAGCGAGTCTGATCCTCAAGCACCCCCATGTATCACTGCCTAGCCCTGCTAAGAAATGAGCTTTAGCTCATACTATAGAAGGGCCATGGGGCATACCAGATTTGGCCAGGACTTGAGACTCCTGATCTCCTTTCCACCCTGGCCTGGCCAGTTGTGCCAGGTGTCACCAGAGGCTTCTGTCTGGCTCTCTGGTTTGACCTCTCCTCCAGGCTCTGGGCTTGGGTTGGAGCCTGTGGGCTCTGTGGTTGTTCCAAACTGCCCCAGGGCTTTGGCACTGTACTTGGGGTTTCCAGGATGGCATCATCTCTGTTCTCACCCCAGCAGTTTACATTCCTGACTTCCGACTTCCGGGTAGAGCACAGCTGAGCCTGCCTGAGGGTGGAGGTGGTGGGGGCTTCTTATCCTCAAGGTCCCCAGGCTGCAGCCTCCATCCAGCCACTCCCACCTATTCTGAGTAGCTGCAGGGGCCTTGTTGGGTCCAAGCTGTAGAGTCATCTGTCAGCTGAGTGAAATCTGGCCCTCAGCTGGAGCCTAGAGACAGATGATAAGCATCTGTGAAGGAGCCATTTGCTATGTGGCTTGTTTCCCTTTCTTCAAAGCAAGAGCATTTTCTGCAGCGCCCCCTGGCCTTTGGTGAGCTGTGATTAGATGCTCAGATCTGGAGGCTTCCAGGGCAGAAGAGGAACTCAAAGGGCCTCCTGGTGCAGTTCTTGCTCCTGGGCCAGCTTCTGTCCACCCTTGCACATTCCTGAAGAGGTTAACCCCAGAGTGGCCCTGTGTCAGCATTTGAAAACCCTGTATGTAATTACATTAATCAACCTTTAGAGTCCCCACCTTTTGTGCCTCCCAGATGGGATTTATCTGGGTTTCTGTGATTCTTCCTCAGCCGGACACTTCTGGTACCTACCCCCTTACTTTACATGCTGGAGTCTGTGACCACATCCCACCTCCATCAGGCCCCTGGTGGGCTGCCCCTCCTTAACTTCCTAGCGGGAGGAGTGTTTTCTCCCCTCCCTTTAGTGGTTCATCCCTGGTTCCAATCCCTCTCTCCTCTCCCATTGTCCCTTGCTCTGGGAGCTTCCCCAGTTTCTAACCCACCAGCAGCTGGACTGAGGGTGGAGCCTGGGCCAGGCACTTGGAGAGGGAACCCTTAGGATCTGCCTTGAGGATTCTGCAAGTGCACTTTCATTTACTGGGAAAGAAGGGCCGGTCATATCAGCACCTGGCCTTTCCACTCATCCCATCCCCAGTCTCTAGTTGTGCCCACTAAGGCATGCCAGCACAGGTCAATGCCTTTATTGTACTGTCATTTTCTTGCTGAAGAAGGTGGGCCAGCTTGGGCAGAAGTAAATAGAAATGACCTGGCTCGTGAGCCCCCACCTTCCATCAGCCTCCCCAAACCACACTCCTTGAGTTCCTATGCTAGCCTGCCCTTCCTTCCATCTCCTGTACAAGAGCAAAAATGGCCTCAGGTGTCCAGTCACGTGATCCCCTGCCATCTTCCCTTGGGAATAACCTTCCTCTACCAGCAGCCAGGGCTGCCTGGACTTCAGCCAGGATTAGAGCCCCTTTTTCTTCTATCAAGCAACTAGCTGGGCAGGTGGTCCTAGGGCCGCCTTCATGGCCAAATGTCACTGCTTCCCATGCTGGTGGGGTGGTAGGGACAGTGGCTTCACAGGACTGCCTGCTTGCCACCAGGGGAGGAGGCATTCATTCCATGTCTTCCTCATATAAAGCATCTGTCTTGAAATTTGGCAATAAATCTCCTTTTATGAAACTTCTTTGCCCCAGGCCTGTGTGTTGGTATAGGAGCTAGCTCTAGAGGAGCACAGGGCTGGTAGGAGTTGATCAGTGGCATCATCAACCCCCAAAATCCAGTTCTGGGCCCCCTTTCTATTATAGGTTGAACTTAAGAAAAGGGGGCAAGAGGGGCTGAAGAGGGCTGAAGAGATGGCTCAGTGGCTAAGAGCACTGGCTGCTCTTGCAGAGGACCTGGGTTTAATTCCCAGCACCCACATGGTGGCTAACAACCACCTGTAACTCCAGTTCCAGGGGATCTGACGCCCTCTTCTGACCTCCATGGGCATTGCACAATACAGGTGCACTTGCATGCATGCAATACACTCATAAACATAAAATAAAAATAATAAGCCAGGCGTGGTGGTGCATGCCTTTAATCCCAGCACTTGGGAGGCAGAGGGAGGCAGATCTCTGTGAGTTCAAGGCCAGCCTGGTCTACATAGTAAGTTCCAGGACAGCTGGGGCTACAGGGAGACCCTGTCTCAAGACCTAAAAAATAATAATAATAAAAAATAAAATATTAAAAAAATAAAAGTTGCAAGAGTGAAAAATAATACAAAGGAGCTGGTAAGTAAATGTAAAATAAGTTATTTAAAAATTGTTTAAACTGGACATGATAGTACATGCCTTTAATCCAAGTACCTGGGAGACCGGGGCAGATGGATCTCTGTAAGTTCAAGGCCAGCCTGGTCTACACATCGAGTTCCAGGCTTGTTGGGGCTATAGGGAGACCCTGTCTCAAGAAGACCAAAGAGAAAAAAAAAAAAAAAACAGAAAAAACAAAAAACAAAAACACATTGTTTAAAAACAGTATAAAGGACACCAGTACACTCTCTTCAGACTATCTTCTGAGTACTTGCTTGCACATTGGAAAGTTAGTTATCATGATTTCTTATTTTTCTTGGTGTGGGGAGATGGGGAGACAGGGTCTCACTATGTAGCTCTGGCTGGTCTAGAACTATGTAGACAGGGCTGGTCTCGAACTCACAGAAATCTGCCTGCCTCTGCCTCCCAAGTATTGGAATTAAAGGTGCATGCTACCACACTCAGCCCTCTATTTCTTCTTTTTTTTTAATCTTTACTTATTTATGCATGTATATTCGGGTTTGCCTTCATGGGTTATGTTCACTATGTGCATACAGGAACCACAGAGACCAGAGGAGTTTGTCAAACCCACTGAAAACTGGAGTTACACACTGTTGTGAACTGCCTTGTGGATCCTGGGAATAAAACTTAGGTTCTCTTTAAGAGCAGTAAGTGCTCTTAACCAATGAGCTGTCACTCCAGACCCATATTGTTTATATTTCAGTTTTGTCATTCATGTGGTCCCATAGCCTTTATTGGATTTCTTTTCTAAATTAGGGTCAAGTATTGCATATAATTGCCATTTCTCTGTGTTTGGAGAAAAAGTCTCATTACATTGTCCTAGGTAGCCTCAAACCCATGGCAGTCCTCCTGCCTCAACTTCTAGAGTGCCAGGCTTACATAAAGTGCCATCATGCCCAGTTAATTGTAATTTATCTTTCGTTTAATTTGAAATAGATCCACAGTATATTTTTCATGACATTGACTTTTTTTGTTATTTCACGTAGCCCAAGCTGTCCTCAAACTCACCATATGTAACTGAGAATGACTTTGAATTCTTTTTAGTTTTGAAACAAGATTTCATTATGTAGCCCTGGCTGGCCTGTACCTCACTATATAGACCAGGCTAGCTTTAAACTCATAGCTATGCCCACCTACCTCTGCCTCCCAAGTGCTGGGACCACGTGCCACCATGCCCATCATATATTTTTTTTTTTTTAGACAATGTCTCCCTGTAGCCCCAGCTGGCCAGGAACTTACTATGTAGACCAGCCTTCCTCTACCTCCCAAGTGCTGAGATTAAAGGCCTGCCTCACAATGCTGGTCTGGCATTGACATTCTTGATGAATACAGTCCTTCCTCCACCCACTCACCCCCTTAAACTCTCAGTCTGCTTGCCTCAGCCTCCTCAGTGCTAGAGTTGCAGGTATGTGTGATTACACCTGTCTTCCCTCCGCCTTCTTTAAGTACCTCAAGCTGGCTTGAACTCAGCATATAGCAGAGGATAACTTTGAACCTCCTATTTTTTTACTTCCACCTCAGAAGTGCTGGGATTACAAGCATGTATCATCACACCCGGCTTTCCCCCATTTTTCAAAGACCATTCCTCTTTTAAGGCTTCAGATTTTGTCTTGTTGAACAGCTGTTTACTATGATGATTCTAAAATGGTGATTCTAGATGTTTGACCATAAGAGCTTGGGCCTGGTTAGGGGTAAATCTGGATCCTTTTTTATAACCCTGGACCTGTGATGACACAGCCCCACAGGGGTCACAGAAAGCTGTGGGGCAGTGGACAGTGCAGTTCATTCAGTATGCCAGGATTTTAGTTCTACCTAAGAACTGCCTGTAAGTCTCAGTCAGGGGAGATGTCTCAGTTTCCTCACCCACAGTAGGAGATTGCTGTGCTTGTACCCTGTGTGGGAAAGCACCACTGTGCTTGCCAAACCCTGGCTCCCTTCTTCCTCTATGAAGCCATTGGACAGACCCTGTGGCCAACATAACAGGAAGCACCTGACCTGGGATGTCATCTGTGGCCATGACCCTTGTGAATTCCCCTGCCACCAGTCTGATGTGCGACATCCATACAGGGTAAGTGGTCTACAGAAATCAGGGGACCTCAGATGACACTTGATATGTTGAGGTGCCCTCATCTGAGTTTCCTTACTGATGAGTGTTTGTTCAACCCTGACCCAGGAACTAGCTGCTGGGATGGTGCTGGTGGCCAGCCACAGGGTTGAGAAAGGATGTGGTAAGAACTTTCTTTCCCTCTGGCTTTGGGGACTAGAGACCTGTACAGAAAAGGTCCTTTTGAACACATGCTGCTGTCGCCTTAGGAGTCCCAAGTCCTGTGGGTATTGACAGCAAAAAGTTCTGCAAACCACACCATGGTTGCTTTTAGACAGGACTCAACAATGAGGCCTGGGTAAGAAGGGGCATCCCTCTTAACTCCTTTCCACCAGAGCCTGGGCCACGGAAGACCCCTGTGTCTGGGGCACTGTGTTTTGGACCTCCTTCAAGTCTCATCTTCCCCTTCCTCTCTCCTCAGGTCCCAGACAGTAGGTCTGTCAAAAATACAGCAGAAAATTTACTAAGTCAGATACTCACCTTTGGAAAAAAACGGGACTTTAGATTTGGAAGCTGGCACACCTAGATTCAAATCCCAGGAGTCGGGCTGAAGATGTCCACAGTGATAGAGCACTTGCCTAGCATACATGAAGCTCTGTTCCTGTGCCTAGCACTGCATAAAACGCTTCAAGGTAGCTCACCCTGGTAATCCCAGCACTCAGGAGGTGGAGGCTGGAGGATCAGAAATTCAAGGCCAACTGTGCTTCTTATCTGTTTTTCTTATCTGTAAAGTGGACTGATTCTATAGGGTACCTTTGCCTACCACCTACCTCTTAGAATGGTTGATAAACGCCAGCACTCTACCTCACAGAGTATCTGTTTGCTGGGCCTGTTGGACTGTCCTTGTCACAGAAACTTCGTGAGAGAGGTAGAATGTTCTGTGTAAAGCTTGGGAACTGAGGCTTAAGCAACTTGCCTAGGAGACAAAAGTTAGTATCTGGACCCAGGATTTGACCCCCAGGGGCGCTTGGTATGGGCCCACAACAGAGTGCTATTTCTCTGGAAGGTCTGTAACTTCAGGTAGAGGCTCAGCCCAGGGACTTGGGCTTGGGGCATCTCCACTTTCCACATCTGGAGGATGCCCTGAGGCTGGATCTGGCTCTCCATCTGCAGGAGCAGGCCACAGCCAGAGAGATTGCACTGTGGCTCAGGAGGCTTTCCCTTATAAGGACAACAATTTAGCTGTGATGAAAGCTCTAGGCCTCCCAGCTGGGTGGGCGGAGGAAGGGAAATGACAGAGGCTCCAAGGGCTACAGCTGAGAGCGGCAGGAACCCACCCACAAGCCTCCTTAGTCCTCGTCCTGTGGTCCTGTGTCAGCAATGAAGAGTGGGGCTTTCCAGAAGGTCCCACTGGCAGGACTGCAGAGAAGGGTCCAGAGGGGTGGGGGGCTCAGAGAAGGGATCAGACATAAACTAAATGAAGAGAGTGACAGGCACCATCTTGAAGCATGTAGCAGGAGGTCCAGACCTCAAGCTCTGGGCTTGGCTGGCAGCAGCCTACTGATGTTTAAGCTGACTGGGGCCTAAGGGAGGCTCCTAGTTGAAGAGGGGGTGGGTGCAGATCATTTGACAGTGCATCTCTGTCTTGGTCCTGAAGTTCATGGCACTAGGGTACTATCCTGTCCTCTGAATTCATTCCACTGTCCAGCTGTGAAGCCAATTATGGATCACAGGATATAGGGACTGATAAGCATCACCTACTAGCTTTAGAGGAGGAAGTAACAGCTCAAGAGAGGACCCCCAACTTACTTATCTGCCTTCCTAAAAATGTGTGTAGTATGGGTATATATTTGGCTTTTCTTTGGTTTCTTATTAAAAGCTCTTTTTTAAGAAATTGCAAACCAGAGCTGGGCGTGGTGCTGCATGCCTGTAGTCCCAGAACTTGGGAGGTAGAGGCAAGCAGATCAGGAGTTCAAGGTCATCTCAGACATCTAGTG